AGGATAGACTGTAGACGTAATTGTATGGATGGGATTTCCTGAAGAAGGAAGCAGTAATGACTCCGGAATCTCTATCCAATCAGTAGATTGGTTAGGAGGAAATGATTTCCCTGGCACATTTCCATTTCCCACAGCAAGAGTCCATTCGGTAAAGGGCATGCCACCAAAAGTTGACCTTTGACTCTCCCGGGAAGCAACCACACGCATATTTTCAGTTAAGTGCAACACAGTGCAATGTTGCCACAAAAAGGAACAGGTTAGAGATGAATCAATACTCTCTTCTCTGCCAGCATCAGCTACTATTGGAAGCGTTTGACGGAAATCGCCTCCAAGAAGAACAACTTTGCCACCAAACGGTTTATAGTGTGGACCACCAAACGGAACATCCATAATATCACAAAAAGCTCTGTTTACTGCCTCAAAAGACAATCTGTGAACCATTGGGGCTTCATCCCATATTATAAGCGATGCATTAATGATCAATTGAGCCAATGGCGTACCTTTCTTGATATTACATGAAGAACCATGGTCGATTTCCAGTGGTATTTTAAACCGAGAGTGAGCTGTACTTGCATCAGGAAGTAATGTTGCTGCAATTCCTGAAGAAGCAACAACCAAAACTATTTTTCCAGCTTCTTTAAGTTGCGCAAGAATAGTTCTGTAGAGGAAAGTCTTGCCTGTTCCTCCATGACCATACAGAAAGTAGAATGTAGGCGAGTCTTCTGTTGGAGACATAACAGATTCCATTACACAATTGAAAGCTTCAAGTTGCTTTCTGTTAAGATCACCAACCACAGGAGGTGGGGAATCCACAGCAGCTAAAGTACCAGGATGTGAATCAGTTCCAAACTGAAGCAAGGGATCAGTTTGTGGGTGATCATCTGTTGGCAAAGGAAGGTTAAAATGAGATAACGTGGCTGAATAAGCATTTAACATGTGCTGCAATTCCCACAACAATTTATTTTTGGGCAATTCAGGTGGTATGAGGTTGTTGTTGAAGCAAACGTCTCGTTGGCACCTATATGTGATGTCTTCGCAAAGTAATTCCCATGTCTGATTGAAAAGCTGCAGTGGGTTTGATAGTTCACAGAACATCAGCATGGACACAAAGAGGTATCGTAACAAGCGGCACATGCCCCATTGGCTGACTTCTTTAATCACAAGTAACCATTCATCATCATTAGACAAAAGACCAAGGCGCTGGCACGCATCTTGATATGTTCTACATGGGAAGCCATGGACTGTCCGAAGAGCTGCATAACTAACTGACCCACGAACTTTGGTAAGAAGTTGCCTGAGATAAAATGTATCACCACAACCTGGATGGATATAGACAATTCTTCCAATTGAGAACCCTCTTTTCCGCGGAGCCCATTTTTTTGTTTTCACATTCCATATATAACGATTCGGAGTCTCGGCATAAAGTAGGTCCCTTGCAGTTGGATCTCGTTGGTTAAGGTTAAACCACTGTGTCAATGTTGTTTCTGAAACAGAATCGCGGGCAAGTATTCGAGACAGCCGTTGTTTCTTCCTATAAGGAACATAATGTCTCCCTTCAAGATGAACGCACAAGCGCTGAACCGGCGGCGTTCGTTCATGAACAGGAAATTCAAAGATCCGCCACGCTGCCTCATATGAAGACAGACTTCTACAATCAAGAAACTGTTTAATTTCGTCCAATGGAGGGATATGGTTTGGGGTAGCAGAATCAGATACAGACAACCCAGGAGTTTCAGCAAGAACCATGGATCTATCAGGCCCTTTTGTAATGTACTTAAACAAATATTTAATCAACCGGCCTTGATGACAGACCTCGACATTGATATGAGCTTGAAACAGCACAAGTAAATTCCGATTATATGGAACGATAAACCGATTGTCTAGTATAGATGTACCTTTCACTGCTGTTATACCTGTATCGCGACGGCGATAGACTGTATAGCCAAACTGGTCCGTTGTAGTTTCTGAATTAAACGGTTTTGGAAAATACTTTGAACACGATCCTTCTTTCATGCAAACATTGGTCGGATTATCTTGACCACACGGACCATGCAGCATGAACTTTGTCACAGCATCATACCCAATTGGATCTAGTAATGGATCTGGCAGTTCAGCACTAACAGTTGCATCAATATCAGAAGCTTGTCGTAGCTTATTCTTTGCATCCAACCATAACAGTATATGAACATGGGGCAAACCCCTTTTCTGGAATTCGACGGTTTTGATACCTGGAATTATAAGGCAATGGAATGTGTCATTTATGTTAGAGCACAAAACGTGAGGTAACTGAGGAAGTCTAGAGTGACAGGAATAGGAGAATTGATAACAGGCAATTGTAAAAGGAAGTAAGACATAAGGCAACCGAACAGACCTGCCACTGTTTGACCAAAGAAATGGCCTCGTGTTAATTCATCTTCCAGTGCATTCAGTTTCATGCGAAAGACCCTAGCAACAATCTCTGGTTTGAGTTCGCTGCGTGCACCACAGACAGCGCGAAAAGACTCTGTTATTTCTGGCCACTGGGAGTTGCACGTAAAGGTTATGAATAGGTCGGGGCTGCCATGATGGTGGACAACAGCCATTGCATCTAAGTACAGTTGCTTCATGTACCTAGGACTTCCAGTATGCGATGATGGCAGAACAACATGGCCAACAGCATCTCCTGTAACATCACCTCTGTTGAAAGCATCTGTAAGGCCATAGTATAGTTCAGAACGGAGGTTTTCTTGATGCGATCGTAAATAATAGAGTCGGTTTTGTTCAATTGTGGAATATGCATCAACCACGTAATGTTGAAGTGCCTTCCCACCTCGCATCAATGTCTGACCTTCGTCGTCTCTGTGCTGAAGCCGGTAAGCATAGTACTCTCTCTGAGTCACATGTTTCCTTTTCAATGTTTTGGGAGTATGAACAGGGTCATACGGTATGGTTACATGGAATCCATCTTCTCCGTATGGGAAAAGAACCGGAAAATGCAAAGCATCAAACTTCGGGTGTACACTTGTGATCCTCTTCAAGCCCTCTGACCGATGATCGATAATGATGTCTCGTTCTTCCTTATCAGGCAAGAAATCACCAGGAATGAGTCCAGCCAATTCTGAACCAGTTGGAAGTTCATATTGTCGAGATGTTGTGTCCCTTGCACCAACAATACGCAGTCTTAAATTGATTGATGCTGGATCATTCAATTCAGATCGAATTCGTCTAAAAGACTTAACTAATTCATTTGTCACGTCAAACAGCTTCATTAAACCAGAAACAATATCAGGACGCAGGGACCGCTCAGCAGAAGAGAAATTGGAGAGTCGATCTGCTAATTCGGTCTGCGGGTCAAAGACGTATAGCTGAGAATATTTAGGTCTCTGACCTGCAGCAGGAAGCAGAGATCCCATTCGATGATAATTTTCTCCGCAGATCACAAATGAATAAGGTCCTCGTGATCGTGTAACTCTCGGATCAAGGCGTGCTCCAAAAGATGTGAAAGAGAACGCAGCATTATAGGAGCGTATATGTTCCCTGAAGTGCGCTGCCATAGGACCGCCATTAACACCCAAGAGGTCTTCAAGGTACTGAGGAGTTTCCTGTAGGAATGGGAGGCGTACTCGACCCTTTTGACAACAAAGCGTGAAAACAGGAGCAAGAGATGCATGCCTGTTCAGCCGCTCTTCATACCAGAACCGTGCACCACAGTACTGGCATTCACAGTCAGGGAAACCATGATCGATAATCCGACTGAATCTTGCTTGTTGTGAAGGTGGTAGAGGTACATCAGCCAATGAACAATGACCATCCAACGCAACAGGAGGATGAGTTTGCGAGCTGGCTGTTAAGTCTTCAGGAGTTCTTAAGTCAAGTTCGGATGCGTCAAGTTCACCTTCTGAGTCAAGGAGTGGGTGCAAGCGTCCCCGTCTATCAAAGTTGCACACACGACGCCTCAGAGAACTTCTCGAAGGAGGTGTGGTAGGTACAAATTCAGTGGAAAGACCAATATGACGACGCTTCCTATTCGCTGAACGACCGGGTAGTAGGAGTTCAGCCTGTCTAGGAGTGGCCTAAGATCACACACTGACGTTAGGAAAAAAACAGGACCTGGAAAGTATAGCACAAGCGTAGCATGATATAGGAACACAATGGTAAATGTAGTAAGATAAAAGTAATAATTTGGCCAAACTAACCATGCCACGCATTCTGAACGGGTACAGTGGAATACAAACACTGGCAGATTTGCAGAGGAAGGCAGATACCAGGTAATAGTATAGCAGATGTAGCAGAGAATTTAATTCAATGGCCAACAGCAAAGACAGAATGAGCAAAAAGAAGCAGTAATGGGAAAGCAGTTATGGAAGAAGGCAGTCTACAGGTAAACGGTGTTTCCAGGGGGAAAGATCCTTCTCAAGAAAAAGTATAATAATACAACATGCACCATAGCAGGCTAGTCTAGAGAAGTGAGAAGTAATAAAGCCATCATTAGTGAACAGAGTAGTCAGAACAATAAATGCATGATGGCAATTAATAGAAGAGGAATAAGTTTATAATTTGGGTCTATGGAAGCTAGTAAACAAAGTCATAGTATTAGTGGACAATCTAAATATCTAGTTTCTGTGTGGCTGGTAGACACCATCTAAATACCCTGCAAGCGGAAAGGGTGTGCACAATGTGGTCCTCAAAGTGGCCATTTACAACAGACAATGGCCACCTGCGAATAAAGAGCAAAACAACTGGCTAACGAAGTAGACACAGGTGCGATGCGAATGCGGGTTAAACGGCAAAATTCCGCCCAACAAATGATGACACAAAGTAAACCAGTTCCTTAGCACAAACTAAAGATCAGTTGCAGAGTGGCGCGATACTATGCCACTTAAAGAAGGGCATGGCAAAATGTTGCTTTACGGTAACGACATAGAGCTGGTTAGAAAGCAGGTACGCAAGGGGTAATCTGGACAAAGAGGTAACTAATACAAGTAAAATGTCACAGCAGACCAGATTGGTAAAAGTGGTGGCAGTAATGGAACACCACAAGTTTGGCAAGGGCTGCAAATGTAGATACAAAAGGCAAAAGTACATAGTGCACTACTCACTAAAGAGTGTTTCCCTTTAAAAGTGACACAAAAGAAAGGGAGGGACAGCACTGCACAAACATGTTACATTAGCACTCGCATGATGCGAAGCATGGTCAATCAGCAAACAGTTGCTTCTTAGCAGGTTCCTTAGCAGACGACTTTGGAGTTTTTGGCTTCCTCTTAGAGGCATCCACAGATGCTTCAATGGCCTTTGCAGACGGTGTCCTAATTCGCTTTGCCCTCCCAGGATTAGTTTTCCCCACTGGAAGTAGCGGAACTTCTTGGCCAGCAAGAAGAGGAGAAGGCAAAGCAGAGTCAACGGTAGGAACAGGACAAGTCGAAGAGTTTTCAATAGCCTGTTCTTGCAGTGGAAGTTCAACGTCCAAGTCTTGCAATTCCAAAGGGACAACAGGTTCGTCTTCATCAGAAGAAACAACCAAGCGACGGCGACGTACAGGTGCAGGATGTATAGACACAGATTGCCTAGAAAAGGAGACAAAGGAAGTAGGTCTGTAAAAACACATCTATATGGAAGAACATGCACATTCCTATGCAATGCGGGAGCAACTTGCAAAGCACGAATAAGATAATGACTAACAACAAAGAACCCACTGCACAAGGAATTTCCCTACAGTAAAGACGATTATTACTTCAACTGTGGGAAAACAATTGATTTGAAGCTGACCAAGTAAGCAGAAGCCACAACTATTTGTTTATTTTGGTCTGTATAAACAAAAAAGGGAGAACATTCGTAGATAATTAGTATGGCCACTGAAAGGTAACATTGTATGTCTGCACATTGAGAACACGTGTAAGTTAGCGAAAGGCGAAGAAAGGGATACAAAAGGCCATCCATCGGCGATTGTATTTTATGGTGACAACTTAAAACCATGTATAAAAGCAGAAGACCAAATGTAATTGAAAAGCATTGGTTGCAGTTCTTTTTGCGTCAAAATAAGTATTCTGTGCAGACTGGAGCCCTTTTGTTATCAGGTTTAAAAGAGCACCAAAAGCATGCAAACTGGAATTCTAGGGAGCAGACAACACTGGCAAGCGAATAATTAGAACGACACACACTGTGACAAAGGCTGAAGTGTTGTTGTCTGCAAATTGACACCGAGGCCATTAAGATTTCCAGAGTCAGGATTCGCCGATTCGGTTGGCAAAGGATGTCCAGTAGGGATCTCAAGGGACGATATTGGAACATCGGTTTTTGCAAGAGTAACTGCAGGACGACGCGCAACACTTGGACTTCCAGTTTTCCTGCAAAAGTCCAACAAAGCTGTATAAGGTAAGGACAGTAAACCGAAGTACAATGCAGGATACTATGATAAGTAAAAGAATTCCAAGAGACAATAGTGGCGTATGCACAGTTAACAACCAACCAAACGAAATAACAATGGCGGGCACATTTGAAACGAAGGGTGCAAAAAAAGCCAAAGTCAATTGGCAACATGCAAACAGAAGCAAGGTAAACAGGAAACTAAGACCTAATGTAGGATATGGTAAATTTGGTACAAGAAACATAGTAAGTAATAAAGGGCAGAGAGACTTCTTCTTAGCAGATGGTTTCTTCGGCTTCGCTTTCTGCGAACTAATGGTCTTGTTCTGCACAGTAGCATCTGTAGTGTCCGAAGCAAGTTCCCTGATACAGAGATGCTCAGGAAGGAAAGAAAGAGACACGTAAAGCTAGTAAGTAAGTTAACAGGAGGGAAGGTACTGTGGGGATCGCTGTGTTGCAGTTTCTGGGGGCACTTCCTCACTTCTAGGGCTAAGAAGCAGTTAAAACGGGTGTGCAAGAGTCATTGACAAATATAAGCAGGCGTTAAGTCGAACGCTTGAGGTAATACAGGAAAAGGCAAGAAACTGACCGCGCATAGGAAACAATCTCAGTACGACCAAGTTCAGGAGAAGGAGCTACGACACTGTTGTTGTAAAGAAACATGTCAGAAAACGACATCAGAACGTGTATAAGCAGCACTGAGCTAGCAAAGCAGACAACAAACAGACAACCTTCCCAATGCAGCAGATGAGGGTGAGGATACAGCAGCGATGCGCCTACTGGAACGTGACGGTAAACAACGCATGGAGAAGAAATGTCAACACATAGGGAAAGAGTTCGACAGCGTCCAAAGAAGAGCTTGTTAATTTTGTAAAGCAAAGTGGGCTGTACAAAAGACCTGTTGTAGGGGCGACGTGGAGGAGTAGAAAATGCAAGCTGAGAACTCCCACTGCAAATTTAAGAAGGAACCCGAGTTCAAGACAATCAACAACCAGCGAAAAGAGGACATGTAAAATTGAAGCATTACCTTGGTGAAGCAATAGAAGAACCATGGTCTACCGAAGCGGTCTGAATTGTTGGAACAACATATGGAGACGTAAGAGGCATCAAGTGAGGACTGCAACGGAAAGTAGCGATTAGTAATGAACAAAAGGGGACTGTTCCACAAACTGGAGAACACGGGAAAAACCTGTTAGGAGGTGGTGTATGGGGCATAGCATTTCTTGACCGGCGACTAAGAGTTGGTGAGCAGGAATTTGGCTGTTCTTGCTCATTGACAGCAAGGACCGTGAACTCTGGCGGGCCACGAGCCCCATATTCCGGTTTTGGAAGCTGGACGTCAAAAGTAAAGTCTCGTCCTTCAAGAGCCAGAAGTTCTTGTGGAAGAACATTGCGCTGGTAAGGAAACCTAGTAGAGAGATCGTTAGCAGTCAAGCCCACAAGAAGGTCAGCGGCCCTACCCAGCAGAACAAAAGCTGCTGATCCAGTGTTGTCATCAACTGTTACCCGAAGTTTGTAACTGCAAAAAACGTGTACAGGAGCGTATGAGGACACGAGAAATAGGCAAAAGGTATGGGGGCAAGAATGAAGAAAGGAATTACAAGTTCTGTGTTTGTTGAGGCACCAAACGACGGTGGTCATCACACCATTTGTCAACACCATCATAATCTATGGCTGCTTTGGAACAGAGCGCACAACCCAAGTAGTACCACTGCATAGAAGAATCAACCGAAACGATCCGACCAGAGCAATGGTAACGCGTAGGCTAAAAAAAAAGTAAACGGAAGAAATGATTAGACGGACAAACAAATGAAGTGAAAGGAACAAAAGCAGGTAAGTTGGAGAGCAAAAGGGGAAAAAACATACATCGGCAACAGGTGGAAAACACAAAGCAAGCAGTTGTGACACAGTCTTCGTACATTCAGCTTCGAAGGCCGCTGCCTCAGTAGGAGTTGCAAACCTCGGAGGGTAATATTGACATGTATTAGTGCTGGCAAAGAACCTAACGGAAGCGAAAGCAAGGAACGCAACAAATTAGCAGTAACAAAAAAGACAGCTGATGATGCGAAGGGAAAAACAAATATGAGGAGGATAAGAAGAGACATACACAGATTGGACCAGGTGAGCCATTTCAGAAACAGGGTTGAGAACACAACGTGTGCCTGGAGTACTGGTCAGAGAGTAACCTCCTACAAAAGGGGTGAAGGTAATAAGGAAAGGAGGAAGGGAAATGAAACGGAGAATAGTGCAGCGGTAAGGTACATGCAGACCTTTCGTAGCGCCAGTGACTCGCAGTGAGCAAACAGCAAGCATGACTGGCCCAGAACGACCAAGGACAGCCAGTTCCTGACCATTGAGATTCCGAGCTATATCACTCCACAGACTGATATCAAGAAACATGTGACTGGGCAAAAAAAACAGCGGAAGTAAGTAACAAATGTAGCACAGTCGATAAAGCAGTGGTGTGCATGTGTAACATACTTCTCATTCTGAAGCACCAAATCACTCCGCACAGTGGTACCGAATGAAGTTACAGTGCTAGAAACGCCTGTGATGCTAACAACAGCGCCAACGACATCTGACAGAGGCACAAGCAAGAGAAGAGAGGAAAGGGTGGTAAGCAGTACAGTGCAGAACGGACAGCAAGAGACGTAAAGAATACAGGACAAGACCTGTCAGATAGACCGATGAACGTATGCGGGAATGAAGCGAGCTGAACGGGGTAAATTCGAACGCATCTGGCCAGAATGAAGGTGACGAACGGGTCACGTCTTCGAACTGTGTAGCAGCAGAGAGGACGATGGTCAACTTATGAGAGCAAGAACGATACGAAGGGGCCGGTGGCTTGACGCGGAAGTTGCTCACGAAATAAACGCTACCCAACTGCAGAAGCGGAGAGAAATGGCGCGTGAGTTCCGAAGGAGCCGTGCCCTGAATCAAAGTACCCTGGCCAGAAAAGAAACGAACATCAGAGGGCTGTAAAAAGAAGGGAGGCGCAAGATTGCATGCCAAAATAAAGAAGAAAGCAGCGCTGACCTCCTCATCATTCCACAGAGTGCAGTAGTTGAAGATTAATGTAGGATTCTTCAGCCCATAAGACCCCCACGCATGAAGGAGGCGCAGCTTCAGAAGAGTCTGAAGGCCATCGGAGTCGCTGAGGTCAAGAAGCAATTTATGGGTCACCATGGAAGAGCAATAGAAGAAAGCAAGCGAGCAAGCAAGATAGAAGAGGGAAAGTCTGTGAGGAGCATAAATGAAAGGTAGCAAAGCAAAAGAAGACTTTTGTGGGGAAAGGAACAGATGAGGAAGCGCCAGACCTGTCATTTCTCAGGGGAAAGGTGAGGAGTTCCGAAAACCGATAAGTTGCAGAGAGAAGAGAAGTCGCTGGCGAAGCAACCCAGGCTAAAAGCAGAGAGGAAAGAGAGAGAAAGCAATGATTACAGACGAGAACGCAGTAAAAATGTGTCAAAGAAAAACAGTGTTAAGACGTGACTCTATGAAACAGTAAACTTGTAACTTGTTCTTTTAAAGAGATAATTATCATTATCATTACATTATTATTAGTAGTAATAGTGGTATTATAATATTTATTATTATTATATTATGTGGCAGGACCAGAAGTTTTGAATTGAGGCTGCACTTTACGATGAAAGGTCTGTGTTTCTAATCCAAAGAGAATAAGAGATCCCTGAACACTGAACATGGACCTGGGAGACGCCTGGCTGGAATTGGGCTCCCCACTCCCTACCCAAATTTTGGGCCTTTAGCATTTTTTTTGTGGTGAACAAAACAAAGAGACAAAAACCAATTTGTGTTGATGTTTGTTTCTGCTTCTTCTGCCTGCCAGTGCCAGGATTCATTCATTATTGATCATCCTCTCCTTCAATTTGGGACGGAGATTCATTCCCATGGGCAGCCGTTCATTTGGCCTTGGATTTTCCCTATTTGTCCTTTAATCGACACTCACTATGTCACTTCCCATAGAAACTTTCACCAACAAAGAAACTGAATTAATTTTTTGTCACTTACTCATTTCTGCTCTCTAAAGTCTAATCATTACACATTCAATAATTAGCCTACAAATATTTCAATATTATGCTCACGTTTTCTGCTCATAGAATATTAAGAAAGTAGCCAAGGAGAAAATGAGACATTGATTTTCGTAACTAATGAAGCCACCAATCCGATCAAAATACTAAATAGGGTCACTTAGATGAGTTATTCTAACAAGTTATTCTAATCAAAATAACTTGTTGTGAGTAATTTGTGGCAGAATAACTCATCTAGAAACACAATGCACAATATATTATGTATGTACTTATAAGTTATTTTTAACCCGTGTTATTTCAAAATAACTCGAATGAGTTATTCTAAATAATTTATACTCCTGATTTTTCTAAATAACAATCCTTACTTACTTTTCTCCATCTAAATACCAAAGACTACATGCAAATAACTCACAAATTTCCCTTTTCCAAACAAGACATTTTTACACCCAATTTTATCAAATTACATACAAATAATACTTATAAAATTTATGAATTATTTGTACATAAATACCCACTAAATCAATAACTCATCCAATCAGCCATATTTTATTTTTTAAATTATTTAACATATGAAAAATAATAAAATATACTATCCTATTCGTAAGTAACGACTAGATCCAAGCCTCCATTCCCTCCATTAAACAAGGAAAGGAACCCCTCACAAACAAATTTGTTATTTTATTTCTTTCTCCACAAAACAAATTTATTTCAAAAATAGCTTCCCAAACTATACACCGCATTCCACGCCACCATCACCACCACCATCATCCTATCCATCGCCGCCGTCACCGCCGCCGCCGTTTCCTCTCTTTTCTTCCCCTTTTCAATTTCCATTCACTTCTCGCCTTCACGACCCATTAACCGGCAACTCTAGTCCTATTCCTCCCATGTCTACTGCTACTTTCCCACTATAATGACCCGGAGCCCCGAACCCGACGAAAACTCCAAGCCCAGCTCTAACATCGGCGGCGGCGGCGGTGGAGTAACAACTGCGATGAGAGTTATCATCCCTCTGCAAGGAGTTGTTCAAGGGAGGGGCGGAGTTTTCTTGGGTTCAGTCATACCCTGCGCTCTCTTCTACTTCCTCCAATTGTACTTGAGAAGAAACCGCGACGACCCGAGAGAGGCCGACGACCGAAGTAATCCCCAGAATTCCGAGCCCCGGGACGATTCCGGGTCATCCGGGCAACAGCTCGCGGAGATTCATGGGTTCCATCGAACGTCGTCTCGCAATCTTCTCTCGCCGAGGAGTCCTGCCGGGCGGGCTTACGTTTCGGGTCGGGCCAGCGTAATCGCGAAGAGTCCTGGTGGTTCTGAGTCTCCGTACTATGCCGGGATGAGGAAGGCAACGGAGGATCCGTACGACGAGACGGGTAACCCGAATGGGATTATCCAGCTCGGTCTAGCCCAGAACAAGGTGGAAAGGAATTTCATCGACCCGAATTGTAAAATCTTGGTTGCTCTGTTCATTCTTTTGCTGGATTATGTGAATCTTGATTTTGGTTGTTTTGGTGGGGCTTGTTTGGCGTGTAGTTAACTATGGACTTGGTGAAGGAGTGGCTGGTTAAGCATGCAACGGAAGCCATTGTTGGAGGCGGAGGAGATGATGGTGATGACGAACATTTGAGCATTAATGGGGTTTCTACTTACCAGCCCTGTGATGGATTAATGGACCTCAAAGTGGTAAAAGCATCTCTCTTACTCTTCTTTCTCCATGCTTTTGGCCTTGTGCTCGCAAGAAGTTATAATTGGAGTCCTGTAGTTGTATTTACCCTTTCGTTACTTGGAGCTTGTGAAAAGCTGTTTACTTGTATGGATCTCTAGTCGTGAATGTGCATATGCTTTTGTGGTGATTTGATCTCCTAAAGCTAAAACCCAAGAATGCAACTTTTTTAAGCATCTGCTTCTTTTCCCTTTTCTTCTTTTGCCGAATGCAATTGGTCTTCAAGCTTCATAACTGCTAAGTTGCTTGTTTCTCCTCGCAGGCAGTGTCGAGCTTCATGTCACAATGCATGGAACACTCGGTTTCATTCAATCCATCAAACATGGTATTAACAGCTGGTGAAACTCCTGCAATCGAGATACTTGCATTCTCTCTAGCTGATGCTGGCAATGCATTCCTGGTGCCCACACCATATTATCCAGGGTAAAAGACCATGGCTTTCCATATCTTCACAAGTTTTCGACTTGTAAAGACCCGTGAAAGCATATATCTAATGAATGATGTACTGTTTCCAGATTTGACAGGGATGTAAAATGGCGAACTGGGGTCGAGATAATACCCGTCCCCTGCCGCAGTGCGGACAACTTCGCCTTAAGCATAACTTCTCTAGATCGAGCATTCAATCAGGCCAAGAAACGAGGGCTACGAGTACGTGGGGTGCTAATCTCAAACCCCACTAGCCCAGTTGGCAATCTGCTTACCCGAGAAACCCTCTACAGCATTCTAGACTTTGCTCGAGACAAGAACATCCATGTGGTCTCCAACGAGCTGTTCGTTGGCTCTTCTCATGGAAGGGCCGACGAGGAGTTTGTCAGCATAGCGGAGCTCGTTGATGAAGTAGACAAAGAAAGACTGCATCTAGTATACGGCCTGTCCAAAGACATCTCCCTTCCAGGTTTCAGAGTTGGGGTCATTTACTCTTTCAATGACACCGTTCTCTCTGCTGCTCGACACTTGACTAGGTTCTCGCCCGTCTCGGGTCCCACACAGCACCTGCTGATCGCCATGCTTTCAGATGTCCAATTCGTTCAGGAGTTTGTGAAGGTGAACAGAGAGAGGCTTAGAAGAACGTTTGATGCATTTGCAGGAGGGTTGAAGAAGATGGGGATTGATTGCGCAGAGAGCAATGGTGGGTTCTTCTGCTGGGCTAATATGAGTGAGTGGATAAGCTCGTATAGTGAGAAAGGGGAGCTCGAGCTTTGGGACAAGTTGTTAAAGACAGGGAAGGTCAGTGTAACTCCTGGATCATGTTGCCATTGTATTGAACCTGGATGGTTCAGGTTCTGTTTTGCTACCTTGACTGAAAGAGAGATTCCTGTTGTTCTCGAGAGAATACGAGGTGTTGCTGAATCGTGTAAATCTCAAAGTTGAAGAAATGGTTAATTTTGGTGAACAGAAATGTTTAGGCCATCCCAGTATAGGGGCTTTTCGGGTAGGAACAATTTATTGGAGCTTGTTTCATAGCAGAAGCAGCAAAATAAGGGTTCTTTCATTACATAATTGTATAGATTAATTTCTTTTTGTAATCAAAATGTTGTCCATCATTCTTTTATGTATCATATTTCAAACATTCATGGTCAAATACTGGGTTCAATTTGGTATCGAATCTCTTCTTGGTATTGTGATTTTTGTCAATTGAAACAATATGTATTAAGATAATTGAGGACTAAAAAGGTAAACTGGGTATGAGTCTTTTTTTAGGCATTTGAGAAGAAATGGGATTATCACCCAGATGATAGATAAAAAGAATCATATTATTTGCAATAAGTTACCGCCATAAACAACTTGAACCTTTTCAAGTTCAAAAAATGGATACCAAAGAATGAATCTTCCTCTTCCCAGTCCCCCTGTGCTCCTAACACCACCTTTCATCTGCACAAAAACTAACCAAAACCACTAAGAAAACCCATAAAGAAAATGACGAGCCATTTCACATCTTACTATGAAGATTCCGCTCCATTTCTGATTGACTCAAGCACTTGAACAACCTCAGCCATGCTCGGTCTCCTCGAAGGAGCTTCCGCAGTACAAATCAACCCAAGTTTCATAACCTGAATCACTTCATTCTCCGGAAAATCTCTCAGATTCCTGTCGAAGCAATCAGAAGCAGGGCCATTTTCCAATACCCTTCGGACATAATCACGCAAACCTATCACCTCGTTCGATAACGACAATACCGGTGTCTTCCCTGTAACCAGCTCCAACAAAATCACTCCAAAACTGTACACATCAACTTTCTCGTTCACTCTAAGACTCTGAACCAGCTCTGGTGCCACGTACCCTGCAGCACTGTGGCTGGTCGAACCATCAGGATCTAAAATCGGTAGCAACTTCCCCAACCCATAATCTGACAACTTGGCCTTGTAGTTTTCATCCAAGAGTATGTTGGTGGCTTTGATGCTGAAATGGAGAATTGGCGGCTTGCAATCATGGTGAAGAAAGGAGAGAGCTCGTGCGGCTCCCAGTGCAATTTGGAACCTTCTGGACCAGTAATGGAGCTCAGCATTGCCAACAGCAGCAGTACTTGTACTAGGAAATTCAGGGGAGCCATGTAAGTTCTGTTCTAGGCTGCCATTTGGATAAAACTCTGTAAACATTAACCTCATTGACGATGACCAGTAATATCCCTGGAAAGGAACCAAGTTGGGATGTCTTAGGTTGGCCAACGGTCCAATTTCATGCTCAAACTCATCTAGGGTCCTTATCCTGCCCAAATACTGAAGCTTTTTCACTGCAATCGCAACCCCAGCTTTGAAATTTCTCCTGTAGACCGGACCTAGAGATCCACGTCCTAACAAGAATTCCTTATCGAATATAGTTCTGGTGGCTTTCCACCAATCCTCATACTTTGCAGGCAGACTCTTGCTGTATAGAACCAGCTTCCCTATTTTGACATGTGAATCAGTGGAACTTGAACCAGGCGGCGTGCTCTCAACAACTACCACTTCATCACTGCCGCGTGCTCTGATGTTCATGATGGATACCATGCAGACACCAAGAAGGATGAGAGATGCAGCAATTATTGCTACAATGACCGAAGTACTCAGCACCTTGCTTTTTCTCCTTGCTGCAGGTGGTGTTGCTGTTCCATTGCATGGCTTCTGCAATGGAGGACCACAGAGGTCGGAGTTGTTGAGGAATGGAGATGGTCCAAATGCCTGGAGTATTGGTGTTGAAGGGATTTGGCCAGAAAGGGTGTTGGAAGATAGATTTAGGCGTGTTAGATTTGGTAAGTTTCCGAGAGAAGGAGGGATTGTGCCAGAAAGGTCATTCCTTGATAAGTCTAGAAGTTTCAGCATTGAGAAGTTACCAAAAGATGAGGGTATGGTGCCATTAAAATGGTTTCCGTGCAGATCAAGGACTTCCAAGGAAGTTAGGTTGGAAAGTGTGTCGGGAATTTGTCCATCTAAGGAATTACCAGAGACATCCCTGCATGAAGTAAATCAGAGAAGTGGTTAGAAATTTGCACTAGATACTCACAGCTCTAGGAGAAATCATTTCAAGCTTGCACTAAATACTCACAGCTCTCGAAGAAATTTGCAATTGCTTATGTCTTGAGGAATTTGACCAACGAGGTTGAGATTGTGGAGATCCAAAACCAGAAGCAACTCAATGGATCCAAAACCTGTAGGAATGGTTCCAGCTATAGAATTGTTCCCCAGATTGAACACCAAAAGCCTTGTCAGTTGTACAATCTGAACTGGGATTCCCCCATTGAGCCTGTTGAATCCCACATCAACAAGCAAAAGATTTCTGCAGTTTGTAATGCTTGGTGGTATCTCCCCATCAAAGCCATTACCTGAGACATCAAGGATTTCTAGCCCTTCGCTGCAGGTTTCAAACTCAGGAATCTCACCACTAAATTCGTTTTGAGATACATTAAAATAAGTCATGTTCTGCAATCCAATAACCCCGAATGGAGCCAAACCAGTGAAGCCATTGCTGCCAAGATCCAAAAAACTCAATCTTTGGCACATTTCAATCTCCTGTTGTACATTACCAGTTAACACATTGCTTCTCATAGACATGTACTGTAGCAAAGGAATATCACAGATTCTAGGAGGCAATTCGCCACTAAGATTGTTGAATGAGAAATCGAACCCCTCGAGATTTACACAATTCACAATTGAGAGAGGGATTGAACCAGAAAGGTTGTTGTGAGCAAAAGACACAAACTTGGTTCTCAAGCAAAACTTAAACAAAGCTGATGGTATCTGTCCAAAAAATTGGTTCCTTGACAAGTCAAGGAACCTAATATTTGGCAGATCCCCGATGAATTCCGGGATTGACCCGGATAAAGCATTGGAGCTCAAATTAATCTTCCACAATGTACTTAGTTCTGAATACTCCTGAGGGATGCTCCCAGTAAACTGGTTGCCATACAATGTCAAGGTTCTCAAAGATGTCAAACCTGATAATCCTGGTGAAAGAACTCCAGATAGGGAAGTGTTCCAAAGAACAATCCGCTCCACCAATCCAACTGAGTTGCAGAAAACACCACTGAATTCGCAAGGTTTGCCGCTAGGAACCCAGGTGGCCAAGCTGTTGTAAGGGTCATTGGTGATGTTTCCCCTGAACTGCAGCAAGATATCCTTCTCTGTAGTAACTGACTGAGAAACCGTTTCCAACGCAGTAAACCCGAGGCAAGCCGTTAAGAGCAAAAGAGCATGAAGGAGACAGAACTGGCCAAATCTTCTCCTCATGCTCACAGTATAAAATGTAGACAAAATTGGATCTCTACCCGTTTGGCATTATTGACAGCACAACATGGAAGCCAAGAACGCCACAACTGGAGAGAGAGAAGATCAGTCAGCCTCTCCTCTGCAACAAATCTTCCTCCTCGAACCTCCGCAAGTGAAGACCCTAACCTCATCAACCAAATAGAACAGCACCATCCTTCTTTTCGTCCTCTCTTAGTCCCTTTTGACCCTTTGCCCCCCACAATTCTCACTGAATATGAAGTAAAGCACCCAACTTTTTGTTTGCAAGCCAGTAATCACACAGAAACCAAAGACAATCAAACGGTTCAAACTACAAGCAAACCTTTTGCTGTCCGTTGGGAAAAGGGAATTTGTGGGTTTTGGAAAAGAAGCAATTTCTCGAACACGTAGCAGGCACAGAAACATGGGAGGGAGGGACTAACTCGGAGAGAGAGAGATGGAAATTGGGGACAAATTAAAACTGCCTTGGCTGGAAAGGAAGCAGAGTACAGGAGTTGGGTTGCAGCAAAATTAATTAATGGGGGAAAGTGGCCTCCCTACGAGTGATTCCCCTCCAAATATGCTACCAACTGAAGAGGGAAACCACGTGCATTCTCTTTCCCTCCACAACTCTTTCTCGTCGCTCTCAAAGGTTGCAGCTTTACGCTACTAAATTACTGTTGCAAATCCTAATTAGTTTACAGATTGAAGCTTTCGAGTCAAGCAGGGTTAAGAGAGAGAGAAGAAGACAGCTTAGTGCTTACGAGCTCCCAAGGGTTAGTTATAGAACGGCAGCTGGGGAGGAAAGGAGGGAAGGGAAGGGTGTTGTTGTTGTGAAGAGGGCAAATGCATTTACTCCGATTCACCAACTGAGTCGACACCAGCTTTTCATAACTACCAGCGAGAACCATTATAGATTTATAGTGACCCAATTGGAGTTCAATGCCGGGGGAAACTTAGCTAAAGACAGCGCGATTTGGGAGAGAAAGCGAAAGGGGAAAAGAAAACAAACAAGGAAACGAAAGAGAGAAAGTTAAATTAGGGGGGAAATGGCAGATTTCAATGGGTGTGTTCTGGTTTTTGGCTGGACCGGGGATTGGCATTAGGGTTTAGGGTCTTTAATTCATCTGTAATAATGATTCTCTCATTGTTTATTAAGGTTAGATGGGTATTGTTTTGCTCTTTTTTTAGAAACGGAGGGTAGAGGGGGCGCTCCAACCCTTAATGATTGATCAATCGCGGGGTTTGCACCCCAAGTCTATCGAAATACAACCAGTAACTCAAAGCAACACTAGGGGCATTAAAAACATGTAACCCCACAGGTAAAGAGTGGCCTAAAGAGGCTAAATAGTCCACCACGAAATTGCATTCCCAGAATACATGTGTGATACGAATTTCCCAGTCCAAAGCCAGCATACGGCGAACAACAGCAATAAGCCCTCTATGCGAGTTGTGATCAGGAGCTGAGTGAATAAGTTGTACCGCCATAGCAGAATCAGTTTGTAGCTCGACCTTCTTCAACCCTGACTCCCACGCCAACCGAAGCCCGTGTACAATCCCTGCCAATTCCGCATGGGTGATGGAGCCAGCACCCAAGTTAACTGAGAATGCCTTAATAAATCGTCTGTCATCTCCTCGAGAGTTTGAAATATGTGGTTAGAATTAATTCATACGCTAGTGTATATATAAGAGGAATGTATTATATTATGATTTAATATGCAACAATAACGAATGATAAGTGAACAGACACTGAGATAACCACTCAAAATGTTACAAAAGGAATGGACTCTTCATCCCCAAATTACACGGGTATATGTACGAATACGAACCCTTTGATGGTTCAAATTTCCAAATAAAACTCTCCTTTGAGTTGTCAGTGGAAATATATAATTCATCCACAATATTTATATCGATCAGCTATAGTTGACTTACACAAATATGTCATTAAATTTGATCTATTCGTGTTTCAACATTTATGTTGAATTTTTCAAATCTACTCATAACATTTCATATTTGGCGTCTTTCTTAAGTGTTCTACGATTTATTAGTTAGAGATATTTTAAGTGTTTAATACTAAAGGTAAGCAATAAATCGTGTCTTAAAAGTGCTTATGAAACTAAATAATCGTTCATAGTTCTTTCCTAACAACCATTAACCATAACTAAATATCTAATTTAACATGAATTATTTAATCAACCTTCTAAACCCGTTATCAGCCACCCAATAATGCATAACCATACACTTTAGCTATGTTTTAAGCTAAAAAAGCCAACTCTACGTATAATCATACAAATTTTCCATAATGTTAAAATTCTAAATAATAAAAGTAAATTTAAAAACAATTACCATCTAATAATCATACAAATTTACTTGTCTATCTCAACTCGAATACCAAATCGATTATTTTACCTCATCTTTAGGAAGTAATATCATGACAAGAGCATGAAGATTGATTCCACCTTGCCCATGACACGTCACATTGTTATTTTGTAAGAAAAGGGGATTAGACAAACAATTAGGAGACGATGATGAAATAGGTCACGAAAGAATGGAACAAAACTAATAAGGTACCAACCCGAAAGTACGAAAATTAATAAGAGGGTGCGAGTGGGTCCCACAAAAGTTAATGGGAAAACGCCAGAATCGTGACCGTTGGATTAAAATGGGTTTGATGTGCGCGGCTGGATGAAGTGTGTTGCCACCAATCTGTCTCTCCGGTCCGGTGGTGCCCCACTTGAGGAAAGTGGTCCACTCCATCCTCGCCGTCCATCGTTCATGCTTTGCCGCGTTTGACTATGTCCACGTGGGGACCATCCTCACCATCCACTCCACTTTTAGTTTTAGATGCATCCGACGGTGATCCCCGTCCCCGCCATTAATTATGCTGAGCTGGCAACTCCGGTGGTCCACACATGATCAGGGCCCCAAAAACAAGTTTTTATGAAACTAGATTAATCAAATTCCAGCCAATAAATCCATAATTAGTAGTTGGTTTTCTTGTAGTTGTAGGCCCTTGTTTTGCTCGCTCTATGTGCACTTGTTAGGTGTCATCAAGCGCTCTCCTATATGGCAACCTAACCTTTTATTTATAGGCTCATACTCAAATCATTGCCCGAATGATTTTTTTAAGAAGGTGCCAAGCTGAATATTATAGTTGAAGAACCTTTTTGAATGATTAACATATATTTAATATGGGAGGGAATCATTTATAATAAAATTGTGTTCTTGTCTTGATCATTTCTTTATTACTTCCAATTCCAAACCCTACTATAAATATAATGCATGCACGCGCTATGATGTATAGAGTTAGCAATAAAGTTTACCCGAATCCCCCAACACCCCTCATTGAGAAATTGTTACTTTTTCGATAAGCATGTGATGAACTTCCTTGATTACTGATTAATTACAGAAACAATAACCCGAATAGGTATTGTTGTACTCTGTTATCTCTCAATCGAGTTTGCGATTCAAGTATCAAAACATCATTATTATAGTAATATAAACAAGAAGACTTTCATCGATTGTTATACTATAAAAATTATTTTTATTTTATCGGATGTCTACAAAGGGTGAAGTTAATTTTGTTCCAAGTAGAAACAAATATTCACTCAAGGTGCCATCAGCCATGGCCTACACAGTGTGCAGCTTCTGTGGCCAGACCGTTGGGCTGACGCCGAAGGATATCAGCATTACAAGTTCTGGCCCAAAGCCCTTGTCCATCGTGGCCCTGCTCCGACCATTTCCATCACCAGCTTTTCCAACGACAAACTATTCATATCACAAACAAATAATCGACTTCAATGATTGTGTTGCAGAACCATTGCCGTCTGCATAATTTGCACACCTAAAATTTGGCTCACAAGTCAAGCAGACTTCTGAATTTTGATAGATTTTCCAGGTTCAGCCCTTTTCAGGGGTACATCTCAATCATATACAAGGATCAATTGGGGGGTAGAAAGCAAGAAATAAAGAATTTGGAAGAGAGAAGTCAGAATGGAAGCAGATAGCAAAACCAAAAAAACAAGCAAAAACGAAGCTGGTTTCTATACTAGGTTAGATGCCTGTCCTTCAGATTTCCTGTCCCACGCTGCTATACACACCGCTGTTCATGATCAGGCTCCCGTACTGTGCACCCTTCTGTGTACAGATGAAGTTATTTCAACAAGAAGATGCTAAATTTCATCATCCTGCTGCTTCAATCATCTCAAAACTATACATGCAAACTGCTGTGACTGTCTTGTGTTGCTGCTGCAACATTCTTTTCTCTCCTTTACTGGACCAGGAAACAAGAATCAGAGGAAGCTATGCCAAAAGAGGTTCGTCTTGCAGTGCCTTCAGCCGCTTTTTAGCGTAGAGAGTGAAGAACGCCGTGGTGGCTGCCGTGAAACAGAAGCCAATGGCATTGAAAGCAATCTGTGATGCTGACAGATCGTGCTCGTCCTGTGAAGCATCTGCCAGTGTCTGTATAAGGATCCCTCTGTAATAATTGGATCAAGACTCCCACTCATTAGCACATGCATTTTTCCAGTTATCAATCAATTCAATATACAGGTCACACTTGCATATGTAGATATTAATTTTTAATGATAATGAAGGCCAATTGTTCAAGCTAACTATGACAATAGAGTTGTTAGTTAGCCCACCTACCTAATATGATTCCCAGAAATTGGAATATTCCAAATCCTCTAGCTTAGCTACATGTTCTCCAGAGTTTCCACCAACTGTCCTAGACAGAGATTCCATATTCAATATGAAAACTAAACTTGCAGAAAAACTAGATTGGAAATGTAAGCTTAATACATGTCTAACAATTCCCCGTGACCTCATGGTCCCAAGGAATAGTTTCCACCAAACACGTATGCAGCAAAGCAAGCTACTCCATCCGGTCCCAGATAACTGATCAAAACCAATGTAGTTATGTGAAAGAATCCACAGTGGCACAGTACAGAGTGCAAACAACCTTGAGCACACTGATAAGTATGCCGTCAGTGCTTGGAAAGAAAGTAAAATGTGTACGACTTAACATCAGGTCATGAGAAATGGGTGAGTTGAACAAGTAAGTTATTCTAACACACATGTCCCTAATGTGTATAACCAGCTTCATCATCTCTACAAATAACTCACATTGACAAGTCATGACAGATAGGTAATTGTGTACAACTTAACATTCAGGCATGCAGAATCAGCAAAAAAGGAGCCAGGGATGAAAAAGAAGGGAACAAAAATATCAGATAAGAGGTCTTACGTGTAGAGGGTAACAAATATCTCCGGAACCATGCCCGCCAAAGACCCCAGCAGATAAGGACCATACTTGACATGCGTTGCAACAGCGCAATAATTATATAGAATATAAGGGAACGGCGAAATTCGTATTAAAGCCACTGAGCGAAACTGGTGGAGCCAATTCCCTTCACCAGCTGCTCTCAGTATGTAAGCCTGCTTTGGATATTTGTCAAACCATCCCTACAGAAAGTGGCCACACATCAAGACATCAAGATCAAAGAGTGAAAATTCCACCTATCCGATGAGAAACAACAACAAACCTGTGGTAACTTCTTACCTCAATTCTATGAAGGAACAGAGTACCAATGCAAAATGGAAGTGAAATTCCAGCAGTGATTGCAACTATGATCAATAAGAATCCATAGCCATAACCGAAAGTCATTCCAGCTACCCACATAGAAGGTGAAGACGGCAAGAGTAGGGTTGGGAAGAATGCGACTGAAAAGAAGACTAGAAGTGCCAGCTCTGGAGTGCTAAAGGTTGTCGTCTCCCAGTTGATGATGGGAATGATTTGCTGCAGAAGGCATAAGATGTTAGAAAGGCCAAAATTTTGTTGAGGGGCAACATGCAACTCAAAGGAAAACACTACCGTGGGATTGCCATTGAAGTCGGTACAAATGAACATAAGTGTTCAACAAACTGAACACACTACCGTGGGATTGTCATAGAAGTACACATTTCCACAGAGCATATCAATCAAAGGAAAACACTACCATGGGATTGCCATTCAAGTCGGTACAAATGAGCATAAGTGTTCAACAAACGGATGAAAATCAGGAAGAAAGAAAAATAAGTCAGCTACAACAAAGAAGCACAACTCACAATTGCAATTCACAAATTAGAAGACACGGGAAATCGACAATTCACCAAACAACACTGGAAATCATACACTAATGACTAAGTAAACACAAATTCAAGGCCTGAGAAAGGGAAAAAGGACTCTTGGTTACCTTGTCCATGAAGTAGGGACCAACCCATTTGAGCACAACGAAAGCCAAGCCACCTAAACAAGCAAACAGAGCAGCAAGCTTAACCCAATACCAAACGACACACCAACTCCACCTCCAACAGAAGAAACCAGATCCTGGTTTCCCTACTCCATCATCATCATCATCAAGCCCTTCTTCTTCCTCCACTCCATCCTCGCCTCTCAATCTCATATACCCAATTTTATTCATAACACCCTCGTTGTCTCCTCCATTGCAATCATCATCTACTCTCATCCTCAGCTCCGGAACCGAATTGTCATCATCATTTCTATAAGTCATTGGAGGAAATAAAAAAATCCCCACAAAAATTTTATTTAAGAACCCTAAAAGGGGGAAAAGGTCGGAAATTTCACGTTTGGCACCCGAGAAAAAGAGGAGGAGAATTTCTCAGTGCGTGAATTCCCCTTCCTTCCCGACTTCTTCCTCTTGGATCATCCAATACGCGATCGTGATAGAAGGAACACAGAGAATGAGGATGAGAGAGAGGGAAGGAGGAGTAGAGAGAGATGGCGATGGAGGAGGAGGAGGAGGAGCAGCAGCAGCAGAAGGGAAAGAGCAGAGAGAACCCACTTTTACAGGAATTTCTGTTTCCAGGATTCCCACCCCATTGATAATTTCTCCCAAGCCAACGTTCCTCTCTCTCTCTCCTTCCTTCCTTTTCCTTTTTATTTTCTCACTCTGCCCTTTTTCTACTCGCTGAAGAAAATAGGTTTTTTCTTCTTTGTTCTACTTCTTCTTCCTCTTGGTGATTTACCGTTCCGCCATTGCTCTTCCCGGTTTAATCGCAGGAGGTTCCATGACGTGGCGGGAGAAGACGTGTGACGCGGATGACGTGGCGTTAACGGTGCTGTTCCTCATTGTCGCTCTCTTTGCTGTCGTGACTCCACCGTCACGGAAAAATGATGAGTTACTTGGCTAAATTGGGACTCGTTGAGTCGTGTGACCCGGCCGAGTCCTGGAAGCCTATTTTCATTTTCTTATGAATAACTAGTTTCATTTTTAGGAATAACGTCGATTATTAGTTTATTACACTATTCTAATTGGCAGGTTGCACTTTTGCTAATTATGTCAGAAGAGAAAGGTGCTTAACGTTATGATTAATGGAAAATATTTTCGAGGCATATTCGTTCTCTATTGCTTTTTTTTTTTTTAAATATAATCGAGGGGATTCCGTTTTAAAGCTTGGAAGAAATAGTATCCCAATTCTGAAGCAACCCAATATTGATGATGTTATTAATCAATAAAAATATTTAATGAGGAACAAATTAATTAAAGAGGACCCTCAACATAATAAGCGGCTGGGCTAGAAAATGAAGCAACACCTATCAAAGAATTCTTGATGATGAAATGTGATCGAGATTTTATGTGCAGATGGGAAGTGGAACAAAACAATTCTACATTTTTGTTTATTTATTTTAACTGAACAAAATTAAAACGGGTACGATATAACTTTTATATGTAATTGAAAAAGAAGAAATTCATATTCGATAGAAATCGAGAGCATGAAATATAAATGTTTTAGGATTTTGCTACCGTGACATGGACTTTTCGGTCGACCTAATCTAAAATGAGGTCGGCCGAATTGACTAATTCATGTATGTGAGGTTCCGAGACGCGATCGACCTTTTACATAATATGGTCGACCTCATTGGTGGTCTTACATAATATGGTCGACCTCTTTTTATGTGTGAACAATTATGATTTCTATTTTATTGTATTTCTTGTTAGTTTGTTTAGTTGTTATGCTATGAATTGATGAGTCCTTGTTATCATTATTTATGACTATTTATGATGGTTTGAAACATAATTTATACGAGCAAAAGAACCACACAAATCGACATACATAAGCAAAAATGACACGAACATAGGTTGAATTTCTTGCATTTGGTCGACCTCATACCGGATTAGGTCGACCTCGTACCGGATTAGATCGACCTCGAAAACAACACTTGATCTTCATTTTACCTCAAATGATTGGACACTTTGATAGAACACTTATCTTCTATCTGGTCGACCTATTTCCTTATCTGGTCGACCATTTTGTTAATGACTCCCATCAGGTGGTCGACCTATATACCTTATTGGTCGACCATGTTGTTTCAGATCGACCAAAAATAACAACTTAAACTAAGTGTGGTCGACCAGGTGGTCGTTGAGGTCGACCGCAATGCTTTCTCGTGCTGCCCAAATTAGTCAATTCGGTCGACCGCCTTCAAGAATAGGTCGACCGAAAAGTCCATGTCACGGTGACATGCATGTCATAGTAGGCATACCCAATGTTTTATTATTGAAACTTTGAGTTTGTTATATGACTCGTGTATTTAATATATGATTTCACCAAAATCTCTCATTTGTTGAAGTGAAGTATAGTGACGTTAAATGATAAGCGAGAAACCTGTCTTCTTACGTTCGATGTACTCGTTGAGTGTCCTATATTCATATTTGTTTTTCAACTTCTGCTTAAAGTAAACGATAAAATGTTGTATAATTAAATGAAATGAAGAGTTTTCACAGAAGAGAGTCATTTCAATAATGAAATACATTGCCAAAATGCACTTTAATTAATTATGTTTCTTGATAAACATGACACCCTCTTTCCATGAGTTATATAACATATATGTATTATACGTAACAACCGAGTATTTTGTGAGTTTTTTTTACAAAAATGTTACTTTTATAAAAAAAACAATTACCTAAAATACAACGGACCTAAAAATATTTCCGAATTTATAATCCATATAAAGCAATTGGGTGTGCACCCCCCGAATAGGGTTTGGTGGATGAACATAAACTAATTGGGACGAGGAAAACTCCAATTGGGGTGTCCGTGCTTCAATATTGGGTCAGTTTGATCCTGCTGTAGTTTTTGTAGAAGCAGCTTTTGATTTGAGCTTTTAGAGAAGTACTTTTCAAAAAAAGTAGTTGAGTGTTCGACTGCAAAAACTATAAGAAGTGCTTTTTAATATGAGAGGTTGTGTAAAATGACTATAAAGGACTTGTAATATAAACTATGAGTAATAATTATAAATAATAAAATATAAAAAAATAACTTATCAGTTGAAAATTGCTGCGCCACCCAAAACAGCTGCTCCTCGCCTGTGAAATGTGGCTAGGTAGGTTCCAAGTGGAGACCACTGAACTAAACCCTCAGTGCAGAATATCAATATGATATCAAATAGGGATCATATCAAGGGAAAGCAAAAGTGCAGCACATCTTACGCCACGGTAAACTAAACAAAACTGAGCCATGATCTCAGCAGCCATCATAAAAGTACATACGAGATTTGCAGCAATGTGTTCTTGAATAACCTTACAACAGTAGTCTTCAAAGTTCAAACACAAGGAGAAAAAAACATAAGATTAAGCTGAATCAGAAACAGCAAACGAGGGTATACTGCATATGGCCCATGTATGCAAACACATGCTAACTACATCTACTGTCTCTATTCAAACGAAACGACTTCCTCCGAAACATCCAAGACTTCCTCGACCTCAACTTCCTTGGCCTCGTACTCCTCTTCTTCATCACTGGCCTCTCCGTCCCTCAATTTCTGTCTCTCCAATTTCTCTTCTTCGTGCAGCCGCTGCCATCTGTTCACCCAATCTTCCCATTCTTTCTTCAACAAACGTCTCTTCTCCCTGTCTTGTTCACTCAACAGCAGCGACACATCCTGGTCTTCCGCCTCATACTTCTTACTATACTTCTTCAAGTTCTTGGCAATTTCTTCCTCTTTTTCAGCACTCAAGAATGAAGGCGGCCTTGGGCGCCATTGATACTGTATTATGCAAAAACGCAGCGATTCAGAATATCAGCATCTAGATTCCAATTGATTCAACAAACAGTAGTGTTGATGTACAACTAGAGCAATAATGACTTGGTCATTCCCCATCATGTTCTCCAAAAATAAGCCTCCAAGAGGTTAGTGTGTTTGTTTTGAGTTCTACAAATTTGAGAACACGTTTTTTACTTTCTAGCAAATGCTAAATCAAAGACGGATGTTTTTCTAAGTGGAAAAAAAAAACTCAAAAGATTGGTCACTGGACTTGCCTGGAAGAAATGATCCTTGAGTGTCCTATAGAGGAGTTTCCCGTTGAATGACCATATATTGAATCCATTTTCCATCTCGTGATGTACTGAAGTGACAGCTGTAGCAACGTACCTGAAAAGCAAACACATATCAGGATCAGGGTACAGCATGAAGGCCAATCTTAATGTATGCCACCCAAAACTGCAACATAAATGTACCTTCCAGTAGGATCCCAATCAACATCAGTAGCCATGAAATGCTCAGCAGTAGCCATGGTTTCAAGCTCATCAACGTTATAAAACTCCAACTGACCATTGAAACCCTTCATTCCTGCCAGGATGACATAATGGCCACTAGGTGACCAAAAGAGTGCATTGGCCTGTTTTCCCTTGAGCGTAGTGAGTTTTGAGACGCGGCCAGAATGTTGAGCAGTCTTCATTGAATAGAAGCTTACATCAGGCCTAGGACCATCACCGTGAATAACTGCAAATCTGTGACCCTTAGGCTCCCATGCAAAAGCAATAATTTTATCATTCTTGTTCTCAAGCTCCAAGACCTCGATGGGGATATCACGCTCTTTGATTCTGAAAAGCTCAAACCCTGTGTATGTGCTCTTCTTTGTTTTGGTGTAGCGGTCCACCTTCACAGCAAGGTAATCACCACAGCTCTGCCAGTACATTTTGCAATCGCTGACACTGAAAAGGTTCTTTTGTCTCAGTTCCTGTTTCCCGGGAATTTGAACAAGACTAACCCTAGCAGGTTGGTTCCCTCCACCAAGCTCAGGAACAAAGAGTGCAATGATCGGATCAGCTGGGGACCATGTGAAGTCCATCACGTTCTCAATCTTCATGGATTTCTTGTCAATGAGGCTGAAAGTCTCAGTTTCATAGACAGAAATCATGTTTTTGCCCAGTTTAGCAAAATATTTGTCATCCTTCCCGCCACCCCAGCTGTAAAAAATTTGAAAAGAGGCATTTGTTAGGTTGTTTTCTAAAATGATAGTCATACCTGAAAAAAAATAGAAAACAGAAATTGCGGAAGAAAAAAGTACCGGAAAACAGGCCATGAAACACCAGTGACACCACCAGCTCCTCCAATTGCAAACTCGTCGGCACTCCCTTTAAAATCTCTCATCACCTTGCCCGTTCTTACATCAAAAATATTTATTACCACCCTCTGAAAAAAATAGAATAAATTATTAGTAGAGTAATGATACATTAAAGAGAACTTGCACGTAAAAGCATAATAAGAAAAGGGCAATTAGTGAAACCACTCACATTTGCATCACGTGGATTGCTCGGTTCATGACTGCTATAGGTAACCAAATATTTCTCACCCGGGGAGAAGTCAATCAGTTTAACCTGAATTCAAAAGTACTAAACCCAATTAAAAAGGAACAAGTAGTCATAAAAACACGCGCATACAAAAGGGAAAGGTTTGGAAGACCTGAGGATGTGCATAACGCATAAGTCGATTGAAAGTTGTTGCACCACCCCAAACAGCTGCTCCTTGCCTGTGAACTGTGGCAAGATAGGTTCCAAGTGGAGACCACTGAACATAACTCTCAGTCCAGTACTGTAAAAGCAAACAGGGATCATGATCAGAAAAGATTAATGTTATAATTAACCACTAAAATAACATACACCTAATAAACACATCCCCAATAATTATTTGTTTGGAAATTTATGTTCAATTTCATGACACAATTCTCTAAGATCTATTCCTATTTTTCGTGTAGTTACCAGCCATAAGAAGGGAGGAAACTAATTTCTCCTACTTGCTGCATAAAAAAGGCACTTCCAGTAACAAGAAGACCTTATCAGAAACGAAAACAAATCAAAAGGAATTGGAATGGATCACCATATTCATCGGATAAAATGAGCATGCAGAACTTACCGTTCGCTTGTAGACAGGGTCAGGCTTTAAGTGTCTGGCATCATTCCAGAAAACCTCAGTATCTGTGCCAGCACGAATAACAAACTGATCCCTCGCTTTTTCATCTGTCAGCCAATGCTGGAGATTCTCCTGCATGAAAGAGAAAAGAACATGTCACAACAACCCACATATGCAACTGCGCATGGTAAATTGAATTGATTGTGGCCCTCCAGTAGTTCTGGCTAAATGAGAGTGTGACATTTCCCACACACAAGCAAACATAACTACCCTCAGGAGCTTCTGCTATTGCTTTCTTTATTGATTAACAGAATGTTTTAAAATATGTATATTACACAGGCTATAAGCTACTACAATGTATTTGTTCTTGATTCTAACTTGGCAACGGGCAGGGCAAAGAAAGTTCCAACCAAATATTCATAAAACTGTTAGATATGAAAACTGCATATGCATATGAGCATATCCCAAACTGATGTCACACATCCATTATAGACGCACTTGGTAGGCAATATACAAATCCACGTACACTAAACAATAAGCATGTTTGAACAACAATATAAAAAGGAGTCTGAAGTGGCTATCAACACCTTGTTCTCAACTAAGCTGGGTACTTACAAAGATGCATCATGTAAGACAATTGATTCTTGCAAAATGGGAGCAGTAATTTCCATCCCATGCCAGAAGATGAAGTAAGCAAGACATCAAAGGAGTACAGAATCTAGTTACCCCAGGGACATATGGCTTGATCTCTGGAGCTACCCATTCATCTGGAACTCTCATAAATCTGTCGAAATCATCAAACATATTGACCGCGAAAAAGTGAGACTTATCCAGCCTATACCCGTTGGTCTTTTCCTTAGCCAGTTCCGCTTCCTGTGAGTTGATATCACACCATCAATAATCACACACACACACACACACACACACACAAACCCGGATATTTGAGCACCAATGAGCTGAATGGAAAAGACTAAGTGAAAGCAGAGTAGCACCTGAGGAGTGTTGTATTCAATGAAGCAGTAGCCTAAGGTTTTGTTGGTCTTAGAATCAACGGGCATCCAGAGACCATCCTCCTTAATAACCCCAATCTGAGTATAAATCTTGCGGACAACCCCTTCAAGCTTCTCGAATTTCTCCAACGGAACAACCGGAAGATTATCCACAACAATCACGTTGCCGAAACCTGTGTCCGAATCCAGCTGTTCCTCTTGATAGACATCTTCATCGTCACTATCAATCAAAGAGTGAAAACACCATTTTCATTACCCACAATAATTTGTACATTCCATCTTCTCAGATCACCGGCGGAAACAGAGTTCAGTTCGATATTGCTATTAGGGTTTCGAATAAAATACCTGATGATGCCGAAATCCTCGCCCGGCGGCAGCTCTATAGAATCGAAATCTATTTGCGATGTGTCGATTCCCCACTCCGCAGCCAACGCCTCTGCGTCTTTCACATTGATAACGTCCGCCATCCTTGCTCGGCCTCACTATAGCAGTTAGTGAAGCTGAATTTCCCGAAGCCGAGTTCTGGTTCAAACAGATGCTCCAGTCTGGTTGGAAACGAAAACCGGCAATGACGCCGTTGAGATTGACTGCTAGCTGAGGCGGAGTCTTGGTTCTCCTCTCTTGTCTTTTTTCTCTTCGCCGGTGCCGGCTCTTCTCCTTGTGCAAATCGTGGTTCCGCCGCCAAACACACCCCAGGAAGGATTTGCACTAAAAAGTAAAATCCCCAGCCCTCAACCCCATCGCATTCGCCCTACTTCTCCAATCTGTACACCTTTCTGGGCCTGAGCCCGAACTCGAATCCCAATGAACAAGGGCTCTATTAATTTTATCCGTGGGCTTACTCCCTTTCGCTCCAGCATTTCAGGCCCATTCTCACCTTGAATATTTTATGCGTCTCTGGTTCAGCCGTCGAGTAAGCCCGGCGGAAATTGACCACGTGTTGCCAGTCCGGTTACAGCCGGCTGGTGGCGCTACCATTACCAACCACCCTTATGAATCTCTTTCTCTTAGGGGTCGTTTGGAAGTTGCGATAGTTTTGTTGAGATTGTTATTATGCATGTATTGTTTACAATGCATCGTTTTTTTGTTTTTTTTAGCAGAAACAATACATGAATTGTTTCTGTGATGTAACAGAAACTATCACTCATTTTGAGTGATTGTTATATCTCAACTTTTAGTTGTGATTGTTGAGATAGTTGAGTTGAGATTGTTTTGTCTCAGTTTTTAGCTGATGCGACATACACAATCACACATACCAAACGTTGTATTCTACAATGCATCAAATTCGACAATACATGTATAATATTATACATGCATTCTCAACAATACATCTATTTAACAATCGCAACTTCCAAACGACCCCTTAAATCCTTTTATGGCAAAAGTAGGCGAAGTCGTTGAGGTATTTCCGTAGATTCACTGATGACCCTATTTCGGCCTGGATAATGGATGTGTTAACTGTGTATCTGAGGTGTAATGAAGCTCCTGGGAAAATGTGGATTTTGTTTCCTCCACATCTATCCACCAATGTAGTGATTGTCCACAATGAACGAGAAGCGGCTGTGGAATCTGGATATCGTGTGGAGTTGATCTTTTCTGTTGGAAATGTGTATGAATAGCTTTGAAAGTTATAGAGTCTCAAGTGTAAAAACTATTACATTGGTAGTTTTACTTGGTGAAATGTGTATAAAGATCGGAGCCTCTCTCTTAAGGGCATGCCCCTTAAGGTGACCCACTTTTGTGGGAGAGGGAGGACCTAACGGACCACCACACACGCCCGCGCGCCGTCCGTCCGGTCGGTTGGTTCACTTGAGACCATATACATATTTTTTGGAGAAATTCCGAACGAAATTAATTATCTAATAATTAATTATTAATCGATTATTCGAAGGATAATCCCGCAGGATTTATCTTAACCGACGGTTTTAATTAAGGAAGTAATTATCTTCCTTAATTAAGCCGCCTCCCCAGCCCCTCTAAACACATCACAACTAGCATAAACACAATAGAGAGAGTGTTCAGAGAGCTCCGGTTTTCGCACAAAACCGCGAGTGCACAGAGGAGCTGTTTTATCCGGGAGAAGACCGGTTGATAGTCTGACGTGCGCATCGAGGGCAGTGCCGCGAACGTCTTAAAGAGCGCGACCTAGTCCGCGACTCAGCTCCAGATTCGGTAACCTCGTTCTTGTTGTTGTTCCGTTCCTAACAATTTTAAGACGTTCGGCTGCTGCTATGTCGACTGAACAAAACAACATGGCCGGATCTGGTGCTGTCGATATCAATTGACCATTTCGCTTCGTTGGAGTCAATTTCCGTCGCTGGAGACAAAAGATGGAGTTCTACCTGACGACCAAGAAGTTGGCACACTGCCTCACCAGCATGCCCGTCGAGCTGCCGGAAGAAGCGACCAATGAGGACAGGGCTGCTTCTGCTAAGGAAAGGGAGCATGACTTCCTATGCAAGAACTACATCCTCAACGGCCTGGCAGACGATCTCTACGACTACTATGCGGACAGCAAGAACACCGCAATGATGATCTGGGATGCACTCCAAAAGAAGTACGACACGGAGGAGGATGGAGCTAAGAAGTATGCTGTCAGCCGCTACCTGCGCTACCAGATGGTGGATGACAAGTCTGTCGAAGTTCAGTCCCACGAACTTCAGAAAATAGCTCATGAGATCGTCTATGAAGGTATGCCTCTGGACGATCAATTTCAAGTTGCTTGCATTATTGATAAGCTGCCCCCTTCGTGGAAAGATTTTAAGAATATGCTTAGACATAAAACCAAAGAATTTTCACTGGAAAGTTTGATTACTCGCCTAAGGATTGAGGAAGAGTCCCGCAAGCAGGATATGAAAGAAGAGGTGATGGTCGTCACTGCTAAACGACCCACCCCTAGAGCTCTTAAACCTAACCAGAAAGGGTTTAAGAGTAAGAACCAGCAGGTCCGCCCCCACCAGAATGGTGCCTCTCGAGGTAACCAAAGGGTCATGGCTCAAACCTCTAAGAATGACCCACCGTTTATCTGCTATAACTGCGAAAAACCGGGTCATATGGCAAAAAAGTGCAGGAACAAGCAAAACCCCGCCGCTGCGGCAGGGTTAACTTGACAGAAGAGGATTTGATAGCCATGATCACAGATATGATCGCTGAAATTAACCTCACCGGTGACTCAGAAGGATGGTGGCTGGATACAGGTGCATCGAAGCATGTATGCAACAATCGTGCTATGTTTAAAACATACACAGAAGCACCTGCTGACAAGAAAGTGTTGTTGGGGACTACTCACACCACTATGGTTGCTGGTTCAGGTGAAGTGGAGCTGAACTTCACTTCTGGGAAGAAGATGGTGCTCAAGGATGTGTTGCACACTCCAGAGATAAGGAAGAATCTTGTTTCGGGATATCTTCTTAATAAGGCTGGGTTTAATCAATCTATTGGAGCAGACTTGTATACCCTTACTAAGAATGGGAGTTTTGTGGGAAAGGGATATGCATGTAATGGGATGTTCAAGTTGAATGTCGTAATTAATAAGATGAATTCTTCAGTTTACATGGTGTGTGATTTGAATGTTTGGCATGCTCGTCTTTGTCATGTGAACACACGAATTGTGAAGAATTTAAGCAAGCTAGGACATATCCCTAAACTCTCAATGAATGAATTTGATAAATGTGATTTCTGTAGCCAAGCTAAAATAACGAAAACGCCGCATAAATCTGTGAGTAGAGAATCAGAACCCTTAGATCTGATTCATTCTGATATTTGTGAACTAGATGGGACGTTAACTAGGTCTGACAAGAGATACTTTATCACTTTCATAGATGATTGCTCTGATTATTGCTTTGTTTATTTGATGAAAAACAAAAGTGAAGCCCTTGACATGTTCAAGGTATTTGTGGTTGAATTTGAAAATCAGTGCAATCGAAAGATAAAAAGACTTAGGAGCGATAGAGGATCAGAATATGACTCTAATCCCTTCAAGGAATTCTATAGCTCACATGGTATCATTCATGAAACCACGGCACCATATTCACCAGAAATGAATGGTAAAGCTGAGCGGAAAAATAGGACGTTTACAGAATTAGTTGTGGCTATTATTCTCAATTCTGGAGCTGCTTCTTCTTGGTGGGGTGATATTTTGTTGACGGTTTGCTATGTGCTAAATCGTCTTCCAAAAACAAACAGAAAAGAATCACCCTATGAGATCTTGAAGAATAAGCCACCTAACCTGTCCTATTTAAGAACGTGGGGTTGTTTGGCCTACGTAAGAATTCCGGATCCTAAGAGGATTAAGTTGGCTAGTCGAGCATATGAATGTGTCTTCGTTGGCTATGCGGCCAATAGTAAGGCATATAGATTCTATGATTTGAATGCTCGTACTATAATAGAATCCATTGATGCTGATTTCTTTGAGACCTGATTTCCCTTTAAAATGAGAAATAGTGGGGGTAATGTACTACCTGCTATTAGAGATAACGGAACTAGTGGGGGTGTTGGATCTGAGGATGAACTCAGAAGAAGTAAAAGAGCTAGAATCTCTAAAGATTTTGGTGATGATTTTACTACAGTATACACCCTCGAGGATCCAAAAAGTTTGCAGGAAGCATTAACTTCCATAGATGCAGACTTTTGGAATGAGGCCGTTATAGATGAAATGGAATCGTTAGAGGCTAATAAGACTTGGCATCTAACAGACTTACCTCCTGGCTGCAAAGTCTTAGGTAATAAATGGGTTCTAAAAACGAAACGGAAACCTGATGGTGCAATCGAAAGGTTTCGAGCTCACCTAGTAGTCAAGGGCTACAGGCAGAGAGAGAATATAGATTTCTTCGACACGTATTCACCAGTATCTAGAATAACATCCATTCGTGTCATGATTGCTCTTGCTGCCTTGAACAATCTCGTGGTACATCAAATGGATGTTAAGACTGCTTTTTTGAACGGTGATCTAGATGAAGAAATCTATATGGAACAACCAGAAGGGTTTGTTATCCCTGAACATGCCTCGAAAGTCTGTAAGTTAGACAAATCATTATATGGTTTGAAACAGGCTCCAAAACAGTGGCATGAGAAGTTTGACACTCTCGTTCTCTCACATGGCTTTAAGGTGAATGAAAGTGACAAGTGTATTTACAGCAAGGCAGAGAATAACACTTGTACTATCATATGTTTGTATGTAGATGGCATGTTAATATTTGGTACAAATATTCACGTGGTCAATGAAGCGAAAGCCATGTTAAAAGAGAGCTTCGAGGTGAAAGATCTGGGAGAAGCGAAGTTTATGCTTGGAATCCAGATAACTAGAACAGCAAATGGTTATTCTCTAGATCAATCTAGCTACATAGAGAAGATCTTGAAAAAATATAACTATTTCGACTTTAAACCTGCGTGTACTCCGTATGATGCTAGTGTAAAGCTATTTAAGAACACTGGAGACAGTGTAAGACAATCAGAATATGCTAGCATCATTGGCAGTCTCCGTTATGCGGCGGATTACACTCGACCAGACATTGCATATGTCGTGGGATTGCTTGGCAGGTTTAACAGCTGTCCTAGTAGAGAGCATTGGAATGCTATAGAGAGGGTCATGAGATACCTCAAGAGAACAGCAAACCTTGGTATACACTATCAAAGGTTTCCCGCTGTACTAGAAGGGTATAGTGATGCGGATTGGAATACCCTATCAGATGACTCCAAGGCAACCAGCGGGTATGTTTTTAACATCGCTGGTGGAGCTGTGTCTTGGAAGTCAAAGAAACAAACAATCCTAGCTCAATCAACTATGGGATCAGAGATGATAGCACTAGCAACGGCTAGTGAAGAAGCAAGTTGGTTGAGAGGATTGTTGTCAGAGATTCCCCTATGGGAAAGGCCGGTCCTTCCGGTATTGATACATTGTGATAGTATCGCAGCTATCGCTAAAGTTGAGAACCGGTTTTATAACGGAAAGAAACGACAGATTTGTCGTAAGCACAGTATTGTAAGAGAACTCCTAACGATAGGAGCAGTGAGGGTGGATCATATAAGATCCGAACAGAATCTAGCTGATCCTTTGACAAAAGGATTACCTAGAGAGAAAGTTCAGAATACCGCCAAGGGTATGGGACTTATGCCTACCGAACCACGGACTACAAGTGATGGTAACCCGACCCAATAGACTGGAGATCCCAAGAAATGGGTTCAATGGGTAATAACAAGTCATGAGTAGTATGCGAAAAGTTCATGCATAGTGAAGCATGAATCCCAAAGCAATGGAGGTTGAGTTAATAACTCTTAATAAGATCTATACCCTATGTGGGGTGAAGTACTTTACTTTGGGGGTACTCCTGATAGACTCACCTGTGTGAATGTGGGAGTGGGGTCGCTCCCTATGGAACTTTGGAGGCACAAAGTTGCTAGAGCGTTCACTAAACCAGGATAACGTGCATGGCCATAAACGCACGAGCTAAGAAGAGAACACAACTCAATGAAAAGATTCGGTGTGCTACACTGTCTGAGATAGGGTTCAAGACTACGAGTCACCCTTATGAAATCGGAAGTGTAACCACTACGCTAAGGTTCAAATCTTCGCGATACCTTAGCTTATGCCCGATCTTATGGAACTGTTGATGCTCAGAGATAGTTTCAAAACTATTCAAAGTGGGGGATTGTTGGGAATGTGTATGAATAGCTTTGAAAGCTATAGAGTCTCAAGTGGAAAAACTACCACATTGGTAGTTTTACTTGGTGAAATGTGTATAAAGATAGGAGCCTCTCTCCTAAGGGCATGCCCCTTGGGGTGACCCACTTTTGTGGGAGAGGGATGACCTAACGGACCACCACACACACACGCGCGCGGGCCGTCCGACCGACCGGTCGGTCGGTTCACTTGAGACCATATACATATTTTTTGGAGAAATTCCGAACGAAATTAATTATCTAATAATTAATTATTAATCGGTTATTCTGAGGAATATTCTGAGGATAATCGATTAAAAAGGAATATTCGAAGGATAATCCCGCAGGATTTATCTTAACCGACGATTTTAGTTAAGGAAGTAATTATTTTCCTTAATTAATCCGACTTATTCCCCAAGCAAGAGAGTACATTCCTAGGGGTTTGGATCCTACAAATAGCCGCCTCCCCAGCCCCTCTAAACACACCACAACGAGCATAAACACAATAGAGAGAGTGTTTAGAGAGCTCCGGTTTTCGCACAAAACCGCGAGTACACAGAGGAGCTGGTTTATCCTGGAGACGACCGGTTGATAGTCTGCCGTGCGCATCGAGAGCAGTGCCGCGAACGTCTTAAAGAGAGCGACCTAGTCCGCGACTCAGCTCCAGATTCGGTAACCTCGTTCTTGTTGTTCCGTTACTAACACTTTCTATTCCTAATCAACCAGTTCTTGTAATATAATAGTCTTGTTTATCCTATTATGTTGCTAGCCATTGTAGATGATCTCATTTCTCAAATGTAGCTCGATTCATTCAATTGTCAACCATTAACCGGGTAGACGAGACTTTAGGCTAACTCCAACCCACAAAGTCACATTTGACTCCCCAAATAGCTAAATATTGCTTTTTAGCTCCTCAAATCCCATTTTCACTCCAACCCTACAAAAAGCTAAATTTAGCTTCCCACATTCATTTTTCAATTTATTTCAATAAACCATACTTATTTGACCTTTAGTTTTTATATTTCACTTTAATTTTTTAATAATTCGTTATTACTTTTGAAAACAAAAATTTTGATGTAATTTTTTTTTAATTCCGAGACAATTTTTTTTTTTTTTGAAAAATTAGTAGCTAATTTGTTACCGTTAACTTCGGGACCACTCCAAATATGACCATTTTCTTGTAGTCGTTATTTTAAGACCATCTTGTTTGCTTGTAGATTGTATTGCATGTTTCAATATTAATTTTACTTCTTGCTGCTTGGTTGTTTGTATTTCAAGTTTCAGTGTGATTGTATTTCAAGACCGTTTTTTATGGTTGTTAATATATGATCGTTGCAAAGTGATTGTTGTTTCGTCACTACGTAAATTGATTCTCATTATTATTTAAATCACACCAACAAAGCAACAACCAATCACAAATGAGGAAAGATAAGAAAAAAAAGAAAAAGAAAAAAGGGATTTGGCCACATGGAGTGACAAACGTCGGCCCAGTACCCACTTTTTTGCCCAGCCATAAATGGCTTTCTTCCCAAATCCTAGCCAAATTTAGCTCCCAAAATCTCAATACCCATATTTGACTCCCTCTTTTTTTGTGGGTTGGAGTAAGAAAAAGAGTTATATATGGCTTTTTGGCTTTTTTGCTCCTTGGTTGGAGCCAGCCTTAGTGGGAAAGATTCTGAGCAATTAGACCAAGGATCGATATAAGAAAGTAGCTGTGGCATGTGGGTACCCTTCATTTCGCGGGACCTATTGTGACTATTCTAGCAAAATCGAACTGCTCCCAACTCCCAAGTCCCAACTACCTGCGCCCGGCACAGAAGACAGAACACAGGGACCTCTAAGATTCCATGGCTTCCACTGCAGCAACCTTATCATTCTTCACTTCACTCCCCGTTCCATCTCGCAAACCCCAGCCTACCCTTCCCAATTCTCCCTTTCCTCGTAAACTGGTCTGTCTTCCAACTCCACCCATCGCGGCCGCAAAAAACCCGGTGAATTATGGCGTCGCCAGTCTCGTTGGGGCCGGAATGGTTCTGACCGTCATCGAACCCGCCTTCGCAGTGAACCTACCTCTGGTGGGTGAGCTCAGCGAGCCCGCTAACGCGCTCTCTTTGCCCACCTGGGCTGTCCACGTGTCGAGCGTTGTGGAGTGGTGGGTTCTATTTCTCTTTTTATCTACTATTCTTCCTGCTTCCTGTTCTCTTGGAGCTTCTGTTCTAATGGGTAAATTTATTTTTTCGATCTCGACAGGGTTACAGCAATGGCATTGGTATGGCAGTACGGGGAGAAATCTGGGCTTGAAACCTGGAAGGGGCTCTCTTGGGGTATGGTGAGTTACTCCTGTTTCCTTGTATTCATCTGAATTTTCTTCCTTTTAGCCTGTAACAGTGCAAAATCTCTAGGGTTTACCTAGCTAATAGTGAAACTGGGAATCAGGTACCTTTGCTTGGTGGAGCTCTTTGTGCATGCACATGGCATTTCTTCTACAATGCAGAGTCTCTAGAGGTAAAACATAGAAAAGAATAGAAAGAGAACTGCTGAAACTGGCTTCTAGGGGATTTGGTTGCTAAAGATGTTGTCTCTTTCAACTATTTTAGGTACTGGTGGCTCTTCAAGCTGCTTTGACTGTAATTGGTAACGCCACAATGGCCATTGCCGCGTTTCGAATTTTCAGAGAATCGGAGGAACGTGCTAAGGATTTTTGAACACACTATGCACTCTTTTGTGTGCAAAAGCAGGATTCAAACTGCTTCCTCCAACTTGAAGGTGGTATTGCCTAGTTTGGTGCTGATCTGCTGAAGTAAAATGTTTCTTTATGTACTCCATATGAACAATGATTAGTTATCACTTTCTGTTTTGTTCAGGACTAGTGATTGATTTGGTGAGCTGTGAAGTGGATGGAAGGGGGAATGCTTTTGTTGGTGAATAGAGTGTTGACTTATTCATTGTTGTAGTAAAATGGTTGGATGCAGATTGATCATCATAGCTGGTGAGTTTGTCAATCACAGACGCTGAGGCTTTGTAAAATATTAAACTACTCAAATTTTCATTTTGTCCTCGTTATTTTTGTAAATATCTTTGATTAATAAGTGAGGAAGCAATTGCAGCCATGGCTGACATTCTGTGTTTACTTTTGACAACTTCATTTAACATTTGAGCTGTTTAGGTGGCTGTTTGTTTCAGCATGCAATCAACAAACCATTTGACATTTCAGAAATGTGGAAGTAGTAGTTTGACTATTACTTCCAGGGTTAGTTATCCATCTCCCGGCTAGATAATGTCAAGTTAACTCTCCTGACAGCCATTTTAATAAGCCTTTGCATGCTGCTGCAGTTCATGGTTGAGAAATACATGTGTCTTGTTGGAGTTATGTAGGGTAGGCATGATTATTGCAGTACATTGAACTAATAGTTTACGTAATGTTTGAACATTAGGTACTAATAGTAGATAGGATGGAAAGATCACCTCTTTCTTTTGATAAAACTGATCAAAGCATATACGAGACATTAGATTGCTGAGTTGGTGTAGCCTCCTTATAGACCAGCAACACAACAAGTTAACCTGAAGACTTGCATGCACTTCATTACTTCTCTAGCAGAGCAGGCATAAGCATGAATGCTATGTATAATCATCAAAACTAATACTTCTGATGATTCATAATACATAGAGGCTGGAGCTAGTGAAAAGGGATTGGTAGAAAGGCAGTTCCTTTTTCTTGGCAGTAACTATTGTTTCTGTACAAGAGTCGTGGAGCAGTGATCCAAATGAGGAAACTTGTTTTGGAGCTCCCTCGTTAGAGCTAGATTCTCCCCGAGGAGAAGGTAAGCTTTCTGCCTCAGCTTCTCATTCTCTTCGAAGATGGTTCGATTCTGCAAATATAGTTTCACGTTCTTCAGCTCCATGTCCTTGTATCCCTCACCACTCCTTCTCCTGTTTCTGTCTCAATAGAAAGAAAGTGATGACCTTCAGTAACAGTAAAACTTAACCAACTGACAAAGAAGAGGAATTAAAGGTACTACTCTCTTTACCCTCTACATTACCTGGTGAGCCCAATGACTTGAAGTTTAGGTTTCTTGGGTTGATGCCTTCTTTTTGAAACCTCCATAGGAGAAGGGGACCTTTCTTCCCTCATGATGCACATGATTCCTCTCTACAAATGTGGGAGAAATGGGAGGAAATTGGGTTTTAGGTAAGGGATCTGCAGAATGGCTATAACTACTGGGATGAACGAAGAATGGGTTGTGAGTGCATTGATTAGCTATATAGTAGTGGGGTGATGGGGTGTGCATTAGATAGAGAAGGAGAGGGAGAGCTCCTTCTTTGTTTGTCCATGGCAATGATTGCAGTTGGGGACTCATGATGCCAAAGAGAAAGAAAGAAAGAAAGAAAGAAACTCTCTTATGAAGAATTTGATTCATTCAAGGAACTGAAGAAGCGGAAAAAGTCCTGAAATGATGATGAACGTTGTATATATGATGGCGATTCATTCGAGCCATCAACTAAGGCCAAAAACCCCATCCATGGATTGTCTACTACTGCAATAATGACTTTCCCATTTACATGGTTTGTTTTTGGTGCAATACAATCAGCAGCATCCAGTTCTCTTGCTGCCACCAAAAGGGTAAGTTTTTCTGATCGATTCTTCCCTTTGCATACATCTTCAATTTGATTAAGGATCACTGTTAGTTTGTATGCTGTTATTAGGAGACTAAACTAGGAGACGGTTGTTTCTTTCCTTTTCTTAATTGTTCAGTCAGGAGGTAAATAATAGACTGGGATAGGGAGATAGTGATAGCATTTGTTGTGATGTCTTCTGAACGGTAATAATGAACACAAGTGAGAGCCTGAGAATGCAGCAGCTGGCTGGCTGGTTAAGAAAATGACTGGCGACAGCAAAATTCCATGGTTGCTTTGCTTAAACTGACTATTATTATGGATTGGCTGCAACTTGTCATAGGGACCCACTTCTTAACTGTTTTAGACGCTGCAAAAGTAAACTATGCCCAAGTCTGCTCACAATTAGGGGACTAATGGTGAAGACTGAAGACCTAGAACAGTAGGATTGTTACCATATATTTACTTTTGGCTAGTAAACTATCCCCAATTGGAGCTAATTCCTTTTTTTAGTCTTCTTTCTCAATTCATTATCGATCCCACGCCCTTTAGAAGACTTTGTTTGGGATGTATAGTGGTAATAATAATTGGTTTGAACACAACAATCGAACAAGAAAGAGTCAAATGATTCATCGAGGGCCTGGAGAAGAAGCACCCACAAACCCCCCTTCCTCTCTTGCTTTGTTTCTTCTCTGTTCTTATTTGGCCTTTGCCTTTGAACGCACAGTGACACATCTGCATGGCCTAATTAAAACTAGTAATGAAATGAAGCAAACCGCCCACCACAGTCATCACTTTTTCTTCTTCCTGTTTTGGTCATGAGTTTAACTTGCTTCCTTAGGCTGCAAACCATATTAGTCTCCCTGGCCCTCTTGATGGTATCGGCCATTAGGTCTATCTCGCGTATTGTATGTTCACGTACTTGATCTCTCTATCTCACGATAAGTAGACGGTACAAGACTTATGTTAGTCTGGCGTCACGAAGATATTGTACAAGAGTAGCGAAGCATTGGAGTTGGATGGAGATGGTTGAAGTGCGCGCCATGAGTGTGATGAATCCCGTTGCAATAGAGTAGTTGGCAACCAAATTCCTATGCCTCAATTCTCAAGTCGTATTTGTCATAATCAACACAAAGTCACAACCGTAATAGGTGGAGATGATGATCAAAATACGAAATAGAATGTACTGAGACATGGTAGCAGCAGCAGCAGCAGCAGCAGGTGTATGGTATTGGTGTAGGCACTATCCCACTCCCAGGTAACCCACAATCATGCCATTGTTGAATAGGGCAAAATAACATTAAGATGGCAAAATAATGGGAATATCATTATTGAGTTGGATGAAGATAGTATGATGGTCACTTCAAATACCATTAAACTAGCCCAACTATTCATTCCCTTATTATTGTTTCCACTTTTACTACTACCTCCCCAATTATATTCCCATCAATTCCCCTTAGCAAAAAAAATATGTTCTCATAAATTCCTCAAGATCTAGACACCACGGATGGGCACGATACGCTATGTTGAATGGCGACTCTAAACGGACCAAATATAAAGGGAAATGAGGATTAGCATCGGATCAACGCATTTTAGTATTATTTGGTTCGACCTTCAATTCAGTTTGTCCCATTGTCTTAAGAAAGTTCACGAACACATAACCAAATCGAATCATGTTCGGTCCGGTCCATCTGATCCTATATGGATCAAATAGTTAGTTAGTTACTACCTACCCATGACTATACACACATTATAAGCTCTAACCCTAATACCCTATGTGCAAATAGTCAACCAATAAATCAAAGTCTTTCTTCCCTACTTTCTCCTTCATCCTCAAGTGCCCTAAAATGAATTCTGCCCCGCGCTTCTCCTTGATCGATATATTCTTTGACAAAATGTAGAGGGTACCCTCTCACACATGGAACACTGAGTATATGCAAATGATGTGGGGGATATCAAATATTCCTCCAATTGGTCCTTTTTGCACTGTTCCTGAGTTGTCTCATTTACACGTCTAATCCTATTTATCTTCTCTTTCGATACTGGTATATGGATTCATCATCAACCAACCCACCAGAATTCCCTTGGCAGCATGATCTCTGCAAATTTCGATCATACATATAGGCTATAGCAGTCTGTGTGTGTATATAATTGTATGTTATTTGTTCAACTCATATATTATTGATGTACCTCATCCATTAAGTACTTAGAGATAGTGTAATGAATCACCGATTCACCATATGACATAGTCGAGCTAGCTCCAGGAGTGCAAATGACTAGATGTTACATTATTAGCAGGTTGTTGTACTCGAAACGAAAGCCACTAATAAGAGTTTGAAGTTTGCAGAGGAGGAGGAGGATGGGCTATCCTGCTGATCAGGTTATACTTTGGGCTAATAATTGCTAAGAGAGGCCAATATGAAAAGGCTATATGTGCATGTAAGATTGCCCTACAAAACTTGGGGGGTGAAAGGGTGTAATGGGTCATAATGATGGCTATGAAATGGAACGGAGCCTCCCCCTATGCGACTAATAGCTCGACCAGGTTTCCTGCTCAAGGGTCAAGTGCTACAGAAAGAGGGAAAACATAATTGTACATTAGTTGATTGAGAGCTAATTATTGTGCTGTTTGGTGACATTCTGCTGTGAATTCTGACTAGTTTGGCATGTGCATTTCTACACAAAACTGGAATGCTTTGTTTGATGGAATTATATTGTGATCTGCAAACGGAAATCAAAACGTATGGCTGAGGATTATAATAGTGACAAGGGATGTGAGAAAGTCATACTGAACTTATCGAGTTTTATGATTTGTATATCGTGAAGGAAGATTCAGTTTTTTTGTTCATTTTTTTGTTGTCTCAATGAGTATATACGTGATCCAATTTTAGGAGATTACAAAAAGTGGGAGGGGGAAATCAAATGAGGATTGTAAAAATGTAGATGAAATTAATTTGTGTAAAATATGTTGAACTTACGTAATAATTCACACTAAATAAGTGTCAATCCCAAGGACAAAAAAATTCCTCTAATCAGTCACAATTAGTAGCCACTTTTTTGCTGGCTGACTTGATCACCTTCTCATGGCAGAACTCCATTCAAGAAGTTTATGTCTGATATGTATATGTTGCATACTCAGTTGACGCATCTGGATTATCTTATTGTATTTTCAGCATTCACCATCTGGATTATCATATTGAATTTGTTTTTATAATGGAATTGTTTTTCTATGTCTAGCAAACAGTTGACATTGTCAAATAAAAGAAGTAAAAACGTTTTATTGGTGACAACTAGGGATGACAATGGGGCAGGTTTGGCTAAATCATCCACATCCCCATCTTCACATATTCAAACCCATACCCATGCGGGGAATGTTTGCCAAACCCATCCCCATACCCATGGGTTTCGGGTACCCATGGGTAATACCCGTACCCGTACATCCAACATTATTATCCTAAAATTTACAAGAAAAGTTTTAACTACAACTCTAAACGTATCTATTATATCACGAATTCAACAAAACACGATCATTTTCTTAATACGGTTCAAAGAATATGATCCTAAAACATTCGATAATACATAATATAGAGTATAAGATTTTTCAAATTATTATGTTCTAACTCTGATACATCTATTAAGTAATAATTAACTAACATAATCTTGTTGACAAGGGGGAAAGTGAAAGAGTGAAAGGAGAATTGAGAGAAATGAATTTGGTTTTGATTAAGATGGTCACTCAATTACATTTCTACTATTTATTTCATCGAGTTATCCTCATCATCATTGAAAGATTACAATTTGATCCACATATTTTTGTATATGTGAAGAAATTCTCTTGGTGGGGCGGATATGAGTATGGGTATGAGGCGGGGGAGGCTAAAACCATACCCGCCCATACCCATCATACTTTTTGCGGGTTTTACCCATACTCGTCCCATACCCGGTCAAAGCGGGGATTACGGGTTTGATTGCCATCCTTAATGACGACTGCAACTCAGCAACTGCAAGTGGACTTTCTGGGTGGGAAAAGGACAGAAGGTTTCCCCTGCCCCGTGGCCTTCAGAACTGTATACCTCATCCATCAGCCCACCCGAACTGAGGTGCGGCGGCGGCGGTGGCGGTTCTGGGTTCCATCTTAATCCATTAAAAAGGAATCCAACTTCTGGGTTTCGTTTCTGGATTGATATTCTCTTCGTATGTCCCGATAATCGAATCCCTTATTCTCATTTCGGCAAATCAATCCCCACGGCGTCCCGCTTGTTTCAAAGATAACGCTGACGGAGGCACGGAGCTCGTCGACGACGGTGAAGAATTTCAGCTAATCGGTACCCAAATCGTCACAGGTATGGCGGATTTCTTCTCTTGTGTTTTTTGGGGTTTGTTCCTTCAGATAATGAGCTGATCATGTCTCTTCTAATTCTCTTTTTTGGAATTTCATTAATGGTTTCTTCGTAGTTTAAGGAGTTATACAATTCATGAATCTAGTTTCCAATATCCTCTTCATTACTTCTCCGTTATAGCAGAGTCAACCATTGACTAGGTATAGAATGATTGCTGCGGCAGTTCAGAGAAAGCTGCAGTTAACTGCTTCTCTGCCTTCTATTCTAACCCAGGTCCGGAATTCATGAATGGAGGGAACTATGATCAAATTTGTTTATAGTTTGCCCAAATCCAGAAATCTGAGAAATTCCTATAACTGAAACTGGACAGGCTAATAGATGCCTAGAATCTGTTGCATCCTGATTCCCGAACCTACGGAACTTGACCAGTTAAAGAAAGGGATGGTCAAGCCACATATTTGCAGTAGATAGGATGTTTAATAAGATAAAAGTTCCATTTGTTCATCTACCTATAAAACAAGGGGAATTGAATATTTGCTGCATTTCATCTTTTCTAACTCTTTGGCTTGCTTCCCATAAGCTAGATTGCTGCTGAGATCGAATTTTGAAGCTCCTTTAACAATACCATTCATTGTGTCGGTCCTACAGCTAGCGTTGCAGTTCTGATATTCCTTTATGAGTTAAGCATTCAAAGTTTCTTGAATTTCAAAGCCAAAACCTTGTGACCGACCTCCATAATCATCATGTGCAGACATTGTTAACATGGTTTATCCCGTTTTGCTTCTCCACACATCTTCTGACTACTGAGTGTTCTCTGTGTTAAACCTGCCAGAGAGCTATCTCTATTCCAACTTGAAGAAAGCAAAAATGCACAACAACGAAGACAAGAACCTCATCGAAATTCTGGACGAAAACGTGTCAGTCGACATTGCCAGATACACCAACTTCGTCAGCGCTCCACAGGCAGGAGCAATCACAACATTCTCAGGGACAACGCGTGACACCTTTGACGGCAAGACAGTGGTGGAGCTGCGGTACGAGGCGTACGTGCCAATGGCAGTACGCCAAATCCAGTCCATCTGTTCCTCGGCCAGGGCTACCTGGAAGATCCACGCCATTGCTGTGGCACACCGCCTGGGGGCGGTTCCGGTAGGGGAAACCAGCGTGTTCATTGCCGTGTCAGCTGTTCATCGTGGCGACGCGCTGGATGCTTGCAAGTTCATGATAGATGAGCTAAAGGCGACCGTTCCGATATGGAAGAAGGAGGTTTACTCGAATGGGGAGGTTTGGAAGGAGAATTCTGAGTTCATGGAGAGGAGATCAATGGATCCTGCTGAAAATGCTGTTGATGCGCCTGGTGCTGCTAGTACTAGAAGGGTTTGCTGTGGGACAAAGTCCAAGGTCAGTAATGAAGAAAGCACTGCTTGTGGGATGGACTCAGAGTAGAACTTGTCAAAGGGGAAATAAGATTCAGAATGTGATGATCAAGAAAAGCTAATATACATTGCTTTGCCTTGTTGCTCCCTTCTCACATTCTGCTTAGTAAAGGTTGTTCGAGTTCAAGTTGATCGTTACTCGTTCTGGCAAAGTCATACTCAGTCCGGTCTAACGACACGGGCCGGACCCTTTTGGACCAGCTTAGGCCCAAATAGCGAGCATAACAAACTCCCAGCCCAATTCCCTCCTGACGTAGCGTAAGAAACAAGAGCGGTGGGCCCCACTGTCCTAGAAACGGCAAAAAAGCAGCCCTCCTTTTTCTCTTGTCTCTTTAAATAATCGTACGAAGAAAACTGAATTTACACGGAACCGCGATTGGAAACCGAGGGAAGGAAACGGAATCTAGACCGCTGGATTTTGAACGAATGACGTCATGACAACTTGACAGGCTCGAGCAATGGTCATCGAACAGCTCGCATTGTGGGGGTTCACGATAAGGTAAATGGGTGCGCGCTCCACCATCGGCCACCAAGGAAGAAAAAAAAGTGGAAAGAAAAAGAAAAAAAAAAGAAACCGTGGGCAAGGTGGTGGGTGCGCCTTCGGAAAAATCAACATAAAACCGGAGGCCTAGAGAGAGAGAGAGAGAGAGAGAGGGGTGCGGTGGTGGGCTGGTGGCTCTGGGTTGAATCTTCATCCACTCAAAAAATTTCTGGGTTTCTTTTCCTTTTCCTCTTCTCCTTTTCGGTTGGCTTTTCTTCGAGGTTTTCCTTTCTTCTTCGCCTTGTCCTTTTCGTCTCTCCCCCTTTTTCTTCCTTCCTTTCTCTTGTTCGTCAATAATCGAACCCCTTCTTTCAATTTCGTCAATCGTTCTCCAGTTTTCTCAAACGAACGCGGAGGCGAGCCGTCGGAGGTGAAGAATTTCAGCTGCTGGAATCGTCCACCTAAGGTACGGGAGGTTTCTTATCTTGTTGGGGGGAGTCGGGTTTTCATCCAAGAATTAGCAGATCCCGTCTCTTATTTCTTCTCCGTTTCCTGAGTTTTTAATTGTTGGTAGCTAATCGCCTTCTCCGCCGGCTACGGCTCTCTCCGAATTGCGACGATCTGACCGAGATTGTTTGATTGGAGAAATACCCAGAAATTAAAATTCGTTGATTTTCTTTAAGAATTATAGTAATAATAATAATGGAAAATAAAATTTGAAAAGGGGGATTGGTTTTGGCGTGACGACTGATGTAGATTATAGAGACGCCAGATCCTTTCAATCGCTTGAATTTGGACGGTTTTGATTTCGTTACCTGGCTGGGTTGATGCAAGTAAAACTTGCGCGGATGCAGGCGATTTTTCTGGTGGGGAGATAAAATTCGGTGAGCTGGAATCCATTTTTAATGTCTATTTTATTTTGGATTCCTCAAGAACCTGCCGGAATTCCACTCTGGATTTAATTAGTTGGATTTTTCCTAGTTTATTTTTTATTGTATTGTATTTAAATTGCAGTCAATTTTGTCCACATACGGCACCGCATTAGGCACGGTTACAGGGGGCATTCCCGTCATTTGGGTAAGACTCACGCGTGTGTTGTTTATTTGTCGAATTGTCGTCTCCTTGTTTAACTCGGAGTTACCAATCCGGACATTTCCCAGAATGCCCCCGGCAACAATAAATCCTTGTTCCTGGGTGAACCGGTAAATACCGGGTCTTCCCTGCCAAGGAAGGGAAAGAAAGAAGAGTCATTAACCGACAAAGCAACGTTATTTATTTAGATTACGCCTTGTATAAATCGATAACTCCTATCGAAATCAAAATTTGCCCTTTCCCTCTGAATTCTCAGTCAGAGCTTGGAAACATAATCACGAACTCGATAGCCACAGAGAAGACCCTGTTCTCTCTCTCTGGCTTCTCGATATAGGGGAATCGTGGGGGGAAGATTTGCCGTGTTTCGATAAAACCCTAATTTGATTTTCTCTGGTTTCTCTTTTCTTTGAAGCTCCTTTGCTGGGTTCATTGAAACTCCTTGAAGAAAATAAGATGGGTTCGGAGCAGAACGACGGAACGAGCTTCCCACCGGCGGAGCCAAAGCTTTGCGCTAACGGGTGTGGGTTTTTCGGCTCGCCGTCCAACATGAACCTCTGCTCCAAGTGCTACAGGGAAATACGGGTCTGCGAGGAGCAAGCGGCGTCGGCCAAGGCCGCCATGGAGAAGACCCTCAGCTTCAAATCGAAGAAGCCTTTGTCGGAAGCTGAATCGATCGCCGCAGACATCAAATCTGTAGCGACGGCGGCGGAGCATGTGATTGCTCTGGAGAAATCATCGGCAGCGGCAGCAGGGTCGTCATCGTCGGAGGCGAAAGTGGTTGCGGTGGCGGAGGTGGCCAAGGCGGCGAATAGGTGCTTGACCTGCAACAAGAGGGTCGGGTTGACGGGGTTTAAGTGCAAGTGCGGCAGCACCTTCTGCGGGTCTCATAGGTACCCGGAGAACCACGATTGTGACTACGATTTCAAGGAAGCCGGGAAGAATGCAATCGCCAAGGCCAATCCGGTCATCAAGGCTGACAAGGTTGAGAGGTTCTGAGAGATACGATGAAATGGAATGATGGGTTCTCATAGATTGGGTACTTTGGTTTGTAACCAATTTTTTTTTTTAATCTTTTCTTATAAACTCTTTTCACTTCGCTTCTGTCTTCTTCAAAATTAGTGGATTAGTAGTGGGTAGTGTGTTGAAATGGGTTGTTGGGGAGTGTCTTGGTTGCACTATGAAATTGTGGGGATAAGGGTTGATTCCATAATAAAAGTGCATCAATGGATTGTTAGTTGCTTGCTCTTTTAGCAGTGATATGAACCCCTGATATTTCTTCGAATTCTGGGATCAGATGTTCCTGTTTCTGTACATAATATTGGTTTCACCTACATTGACTATGGTTTAGGTAACTGGTGCTTGGTTCTTCACCTTTGTTTGATTCAGCCTGTAGTTCCTTCGACCATTGAATTTCTTGCACTTGATTCATTAGGGTACAGGGAGGAGGATAAGAACGGTTAAGCTTGCAAGTATTGCTATTGTCTGTGAAATGCAAGTATTCCGAACTGAAGTGTCCTATTGAAGAGCTATTAGATTTAGCTCTCTTCTACATGGTTAGGAAGAGGAGGCGAGATGATGATAAAGTAGTCCCTGTGGCCTGGTTTGTTGAGGTCCATCAATCATGGTACGTCTTATTTTTCTTTTGAGGGAGAGTCGTAATCGGTCTCGCAGTGATGAGGAAACGAAAGCTTTCCTCTTGCGTAAGGACTGATGTGAGTGGTGGTGTAGGGTAAAGGAAAGCGGCCTTCCTTTGGCTGTACATCCTTGCCTAGGCTTTTCCTTGTTTCTGTTGCAATTTGCAGGCTTTCCCTCGATGGATTTAACTAGGCCTCTTGACTTTTGGCAAAGCTGGATTCCAATTTGAGTGGTCTTTCTTGGTAGTACAGAGTTCTGGCTCCCAATGCCGCTCTCTGTCGTGACTTGTTAAGTTGTTAGTTTTCAATTACAGACTACGAAATGCAGTTGCAGTGACAGTGAGCGACTTGCTGTGGAGATAATACCTGCCCCTGGCACGACTCTTGGGTCATATGAGTTGAGCATTGTTCACATGATCGGCAACACCGTCCTCTGCAATTCTGCAAAGCAGCAGAGAACACCCTTCGTGGATCATGTTCAATCGGTAAATTCGTCTGTGCACTGTGGTTCATCATCTATCCTTTGCCCAGACACGCTAAATCCATCTCTTGCGATTTGTCTAACACTATGTTCATGAAGGAAGGGAGGAAAAGGAGGGAAGGTGAAGGAAAATTAGAAGGGGAGGGGAGATTTGGAGGTGAAGGAAATTGGAAGGAAAATGTTGTTTTATGGAGGAAAGTGGGAAGGAAAGTGTGTATTGGGAAGTGTGATAAATATGTTATTTTATTGGTTATGTAATAGTAAATAGATATTTTATTTATTTAAAAACCGTGATTTAACCACAATTAATTGAAAATAGAGACTTTATAATAATTGATCAAGCATTCTAAATACCCTACTTTCTCGGTATAGCCTCTGGCACAGTTTCGTAATCCTTGATATTACACTCAAATCTATCAACACCCAATTAATAAAGAAACCTACTTAAGTATTAATTTAATTAATTTGAACAATGGAGACCATAAAAAAACCTACTTAATCTAAACTTAGGTAGCGAAGCGAGAGCGTCTAGCGTTTATTTTTCAAAAACTCAATATTAAGAGCGTGAACAAAGCGTTAATATTATATTATTTTAATATATAAATAATAAATATATTATTTTTATTATAAATAATGTTAATACCAAACGCTTCTACGTAGAATCGTGCTTTTGACCGCATTAAATTGTCATTATCTTAGTTATGAGGATTAATACCGATTATTAAAAAAAATAGATAACAAATTTTACTTATTCTTATCCTTATCTATAACCCACGACCATCTCCTTCTCATTTTTTATTATGCTTCATTTTCTCATTTTAACTAAACACAATAAATATGATGTCGTGAGCCCAAAAATCTTGTTACGAATCAATTCGGTGGGTGTGTGGCGCCCGTTTTCCTCATCGTATCTCAGTTCATTTGGAGCGACTCACGAGTTGACCTTCATTACAACTCATAATAATATTTGTCTTCATCCATAATTATCCCCTCAAATTTTTCCCTACCTCTCTTAAAAATATATTCTTAGTTAATTAATAACTAAGAGGACGTAAACCATTACTCTTCCATTTTGTAATTATGTTAACAAATAATAATAGTTTATTAGTTAATCATCTATAATAGGTGATCATAAAATAAAACTTAATTAATTCCTTTATAGCAAGTGGTAGTGGAGAACTTTCTCTCCAAATTGGAGGGTTGGGTTCTACAGAAAATTTCCTCTCCTGTTTTCCCTTCCTTTGCACTTTTCCTTCCTTAAAAAACAGAGGAAAATTTATGGAAAACTGTGCTTTCCATCCCACTTTTCCCTCCCCTCCCCTTTCCTCCCTTTTCTCTCCTTCTTGAACACAGTGTAAGGGTTGAACGCCTTCGTCATTTGCTTGCACAGACTCGGTCAGCCTTACGGTTTGGCTAAGAGGTAGGAGATCCTTCGTCGTTCGTTCGTTCGTTGCGCCGACTTGCTCCATCATCCGATTCAAATATAGTCAAGTCTGAACATCTAGCCAAACCGTAAGGGCCTTCTTGCGTCACTTGCTCCCTCTAATCTCTATGCGTGTTCTTCTTAGGATCGGATTCCTCAGTCACAACTCGCAACTCGCAAGTCACAGGACAGTACATCTTTTCTTGGTTGGGCCATCATATGGGCTCCTTTTTTGGGCCACTAGACCATTAAAAAAGGGAAAGCCGAAACTGCAAAGCACAACGTAATGGAGAACAGTAGATAAAAAGCAAAACCAACAACACAGTCTCGATCTCGCGTCGGTCCTTCTCTTCCTTTTGAGGAGGCTTTCTTCCCTGCAGTCAATGCATCCAGCTTTTGTCCAAGTCATGATTTGGTTTGTGTGGGGGACATTTGCACAACGAAGTTCATTCTTATAAGAGGTGTAGTAGGGGTACCATACCCTACAAAAGGGACGTCCCACTCCCAGCAACTTTAATATTCCTCAGTATACACATATGTGGCGAGAGAGGGCAAGTTGAGGAGTAAAATCATGTGCCATATATATATTAGGGGTTGTTCTTCAGCGTTGCGATTAAGTTCCCGGTAGGGTGCAATTGATTTAGGGTTCGGTGATTGGAACTTCCGACCATTTGGAGGGTGAAATTGGACCTTACCACCGTCCTAGCTTGGCTAGTTTATTAGGCCTCCCGTCCTCTTCTGTCTTCATAATCATCCAACTCTTTGTGTTTCCTAGAAACGCCAAGTATTAGAGGACATTCTCCTGCCCCACAAATTTCCCTGAAAACAAGGGTAGATGGTCTTGGGGAGGGAGATCTGTATATTGTTAATTTAATTGTTCGTTAGACATTTGAAGTCCATGTTAAGTTTTTTTTTGTTTTTTCAGTGTGGAAAACACTTCGTATTTGAGAGTTGATACGGAGTTATTAGGTTGGTTGAATTTGAATGAAGAAAGTCCAATGCTAATACATTAGTCGAATTAAGAAAAATAAATCATCACACGGTACAAGAAAATACTTATAAATTATGAAAGTAACTGTAAGAATTGTAATTTATTGAACGTGTACAAAAATCAAGACATGGATTCTTACTTGTTAGGCTTGCCACTTATTTTTTGGGCTGTTCTTTCTGGGGCATGGGTGTTTGAATTCGAAATGTTTGTGGCAAGAAAACCAGAAAAGATCAATGATGTTGCGTTTACTTTCTCCCTTTATTTTCTTCGTTCGTTCTTTCACCCGTAAGCACCTTTACCTGTTCCGGCCTTGTGCTGCTTTTGCCGAATTCTTTTCAAGATTGGTGCATTGTGATTTATACTTTTACAACTTCAAGCCACTGCTTTCAAACCCTTTTTCTTTCTCTAATTACGAAGGGACTCGGACACCTATCGTCGTAATAGATTGACGGAGAAAGGTTCGAGTGTATATTTCTTAGCATCTGGTCCACATTTTGGTAGTTTTTATTACCATCCGAAATTTACCGATTTATTGTTAGATTGTGATACCATTTTTATTCTAGAAATATATGTTTTGCTTAAACAGTGGAGGACGGAATATAGCCCCCTAAAATTTGAAATACAGATGTAAAAATTGTAACATATTTAAGATATAGAATAGTCGATAAGGTATTAGCCCCTCCTCCCCTTATTATCACGATTCAAATCAGCCCCTCTCATTCAAATTCCTGACTCCGCCACTTTGCGTATATACATATGCCGAAAGGGAAAATATTTGATAAAGATCATTCGTCATTGTCTATACTAGGAAAACCAATCCCTGAGCGACAATATCATTGCTGCAAAAGAAATCAGCCATATATGGTGGTCTCTTCTGTTGGTAACAAGATGAACGTGAACAAAAGAATGACCTTATAAAAAAAAGTGTCCTGTATGTATGTTCCTAATCAAAACCCTAGAAGAATGGCCTTATTGAGAATCACCTCTTGTTTGGTTATTATATTGGTCAATGAATGGAGAGATGGCATGGCAGGGAAGGATGGGGAGTTGGTTTGGGAAATGCATGTATGGATTGGTCATAGGTGGCCTTATTAATTCCTTCATTCCAGTGAATGATTTGATTGCATAGGAAGCCTTGGCCACATCTCATTGTCCTTCTTCTTCTTCTTCTTCTTCTTCTTCTTCTTCTTTGGTCATAGGTGGCCTTATTAATTCCTTCATTCCAGTGAATGATTTGATTGCATAGGAAGCCTTGGCCACATCTCATTGTCCTTCTTCTTCTTCTTCTTCTTCTTCTTCTTCTTCTTCTTCTTCTTCTTCTTCTTCTTCTTCTTCTTCTTCTTCTTCTTCTTCTTCTTCTTCTTCTTCTTCTGTTGGAGTAATGGCGCTTCATTATATTTATCATGACATTGTCGTGGAAGCTGAAAATTGACTAGTTTCTTTCAACACCATGAATATTATTATGTTTTGGTACTTGTCCTTCTCTCCCTGGTCTCATCCTATTAATATTTTCATGAACTGTGGCATGTTGGAGTTCCTTCTGGGAGGAAACGGTGTATATGAGTGTGGATTAATTATCATGCTCATTTTGCTTGGCTGAAAGGGTGATGCTGATGCTCTCTCACATCCCCATAAATGTATGCATAAAGCATAATTATTGTTATAGAACTAGTTCAAATCGAAAACATCATGATGTATATGCATGATAATGAATATCATTTTAATTGAATTTGGATAATTACATTTGTTTTTGGCCAATAACTTGCTTGAATTAATCAGGAATCAAAGATGAAATATTCACATGACAGACATCGTCAGGACCAAAATTAAATAAAAAACAACAAAGGAGCCGAATCGATTGACGCAGACGCTTCGAGTCATACATATTTTTGGGAGTTGCTAAATGTCGCCCTTAAAATTGTTAAATGTCGCCCTAAAAAACATCAAAATTACAAATTTAACCTTTTAGCTTCTTTACTTACCCTTTAGCAAATAAACCACTTAGTAAAGAAAACAAAACATTATTCAAAAGAGAGAATCCATCATCGTCATTCTGGAGTTGGAATCGTCGATATGATGTCTGGATTATGATTAGCGACTCTGAATCGGTAAAGTTCACTCCAAAAATTGGGGGGAAAAAAACGAAATAAAAGGAACCTCGGCTCATTTGTGGTTGCACCATGGGCCAACCGCACCTCACTTGCGGTTGCACCATGGACCAACCGTAACTTGCTTTAGGTTGAGCGTTTTTTTTAAAATTTCGGTAGAGAACGGGCGACGACGACGGCGGGAAAGGCGTCGACGGATTGGTGCGTCGAGAGGGATTCGCGAAGAAGGCATATGAGGGGTTCGGTTTGAGAAGTTAGGGATTGTTTGGTTTGTTTAAATTTTGAAATTTTATTGAGGTATATAAGTCATTCATCATTAGAGTTAGGACGACCATTAACAATTTTAAGGACGACATTTAGTAATTCAGATATTCTATTACCATTTAGCCCTCTGAACTCCGCTAAATAAAAAGAAAAAGAATGAGTCCTCTATAGTCCAACGCATGGTAGGGACTGGGGAAGGAGCAAGAGGGGGGAAGATCCCGTCATTTCCAACAACAACCAGCTCCAGCTGCTTCCTAATTGCCTGGTAACCTCTGGATTAAGCGGTGTATTAAGTTCAATAAAGACAAAATGGACCATCACCTATCAATGCCTTATTATACAAG